GTGAACCGGGTCGCACATGGACAGCATGGCGGTTGCATCCACCATCTTACTGCCATCTCCTGCAGCAACGCAGACAGAAAACACGGCTGGTTACAGAGGAAGATGTCCACAGAGGCGCATTAGGATGACCATAGAATGTAGAACAAGACGGAGAAATGTTGAGATTTATCTGAGTTTCAAAAGTTTAAAATTTTCAACTTCTGAAACTCTTTCCTAAAAAATTCTCAAGATTTCAGTTTACTATTGCTAATTTTTTTACTTTGGAAAGAGAAATTTTCTAGAAAAAGGTTGAAAATTCAAATATCAAAATTTGTGAATTTTTTTTTCTTGCAAATGATCAACTTTTGGAGCCCAGAAATATTCATTTTTTTCTAGAAAATTGTAAGATTAATGTAACATTTTCTGAGTTTTTTGTGCTACATGCCCTGGTGGATCTCTCTTGATTGCATTCTCATATGCGGTTTCCTCTTACCAAAGCTGTCTCTGTGGATCTCTAGAAGGAAACCCTCTTTTAAGTCGGGTTCACAGGCACAAGGAACTGGTTTGGAGCGGAACCTCTGGTTGCGGAAGTGCAGGTAGAGCGTAAACGTGGGACACACTTGACCAGGTAGAGGCTCTGAGTCTTGGAGGTGCTCCAAAAAGGCCTTACCTCCAAGAACTTGAAGGTAGAGGTATCGCCTTGATGGATCAAGATTAGCTTAAAGAGAATAAAAAAAATTTAGACGAGGACTTAGTCCATTTATTTTCATGAAGCATTATGAGTGACATCTCCTACTTTTCTTAAGATGCATACTATCTTGGTCAACATGATGACCAGCAGGCTTGGACTGAGGTTCTGCATCAATATTTGGAGCACTTTCCTGTCACAAAGAAGTGAGAGATAGTACTTTACTTGTGGTATTGGACATGTCAGAAATGTAAAACAGGCATCTTTAAATGCTAACCACAGTCTGCAAAATGGCTGCAAACCTGAGTGAAGTGGAGGTCTCTCATCACATCGTCGATGATGCCCCGGCGTTGGAGAGCGCGTACAAAGTCTCCCTCTGACAGAGGCCGATGCGCTGAGCCTTCATCGCCTTTTATAGTCTCTGCCAGGACTTCTCGGATTCGTCCATGGACATCCATCTGACGGGCAGAAAAGAATAAAACTGCTAACCTTTCCATTGTTTCAAACAGAGAAAAAGACATTGCAAAATTACAGAAGAAATTCAGTAAGAAAGTATAAATTAGAGTTGAGTAAGCAGCAATAGGTGTGTTATCTAGTTATTATGTGTGGGTTTTCCAGGATGGTAGAACACTGTTTCATAGGACAACAGTGGAAAACTATCCTCAGAACATTGTTCATTTAGAACACTAAATGAAGATTCAGATCAGTGCCCACAGATCTGAATCTGTGGGCACTTATGATAAATCAAGAAAATAAACTAAAGATGAATAATAAATTAAAATGAAAGATTTGGACTAAAATAGGTGGCATCTCAATTATGAATATCTTTAAGATCTTTAAAGTAGCATAAAAACGTCATTAAAGCAAAAAATATATTCTTTAAAAATGAATCCGTATGAATAATTCATACAGACAAATTTAACAGAAATATGATTAAGCATTGAATCTTTTTCTTAAAAATGGGTATCAGTGTGCTGTATTTGCAAATTTAAAAATTAGGTATACAATCGAGAATCAAATAAACGAAACTGGCCAAGTACAGAATAAAGTTACTTGTTCCAAAACAAAAAATTAAGAGTGATACAGTTAGCTTACCCTCAGGAGATGGTTGTGTATTATCTGTTTCAACTCGGAAGCTTTTTCTGGAGGAAGACACATTATGGCTAATTAGCGTTAGCGGTCAGTCAAGCGAAGATGCGTACAGAGCAGATATACACACATATATCCGTCGTAGCTTAAACTGGATATAATATTTGTAAACACTTGTCTGCTCTGCCTTTTTTTGTTTAGACAACCAACTGCCAGTTTTAAATTTAGGCAAAAAAGGACACCGTAAGCCCGCCACATTGTGCCTGACGGAAAAAGAAAACAACATTAACAAAAAGCCTGCCACGTTATATTTAATAATTAAACTAAATACGGAAGTAAAATAAATATCGATATTTTTATGTAATGCGCATCTTTTAAAAATTCAACAAAATATAGATTTAACTAAGTGAAATGCGTTCAGGTGTCATATCGGTCGACCCAGGATCCTAACCATTAGCGACGAACAGAGAAAAGGACCCGCTTCTAATTTGTAGTTCAAAATATATTCTGTTCCTGCTGGAGGTGCTGCCAAGTTAAACCAAGCTAAATAGCTATTTGAAATATTCAAAAATAAATATCTAACATTTACTTGTATTTGTTCTGTGTGGAGAACGATCCCATGTTATTTTTAACAGAATACAACATTTATGAACGCTTTACTCTTTAGACTTGATTAGATTTTCAATGAACTTCTAAGTAATCCAGGACATTTTACTTCCGGGAGGTAAAACTATAAATCATAGACAAATTTCTCTTCTTGGCCACTAGGCCGGACGAGCTCATATTTATCTGCCACTCTGAACAGTGTGCCGAGGTAAGGAGGAACAATCGCTCATTACTGCATGGAAGAATAGCTTCTTACCAGGTCGCCATAACAACCATTAAACGCCAACTACATGCAAATCTCTTGGTTGGAGGTTGACGCCACACAAAGCCTGTTCCTATCCAACAATCACACACAAACATGTGAAGTTTGCTTAACTCTTTTGGAACGGTAACTGAAACTGTGGTCATAGTCAAATGAGATTAAGATTGAGCTTTTTAGCAACAGAAACCATGCAGGTATGGCATGGAAAATATATGCAAAATCTTAACATGTCAAGCAGGTGGAGGATCTATGATGCTGTGGGCTTGTTTCCCTTCCAAATGCACAGGGAATAAAGGCACAGAAAAGGCAATTATGGATAATTAGAAACACCAGAATTTAAATACATTTTTTTTTACATTTATTTTAAATCTTAAAATAAACATCTTCTCATTGGGTTTGAATTTTAACAGTCAAGAGCAGGGACACCCAAAATTGTCAGTGGTTTTTGCACAACCCCACACTTTCTCCTTAACATTGGATTCATTTCTCCCCATACAATAACGATTAGACTTTTCTAGAATTTCAGTTGGAGAATGGCAACGGAACATGATCAGACTTGTGAGCAAACATACCTGGCTGCAATGCTCCACACCACACAGGGTTGCATTTAAAAAAGGATTTTATTGTGTGTTGTTTTTAGTACAACTTGGTTTTTTTTCTCAACACATCCCAGCTGCCAGATTCTCCCTGTTCGTAAGTATGTAGGACTGTTCCACACATCAACCCTGAAGGCAAAAATACAGTCAATCTCAAAAGTGAGCACACCCCTGGTAAATGCCAGACTTTTGTGATGTAAAGAAATGAAATGACAAATCATTTCCAAAGCTTTGTCATCTCCACTGGAAAACATAGTGTAAAAAAAAAAAAAAAAGACAAAAAAAACCCATCAAGCTTGTTGCTTTGAATATACACACACACCCATAATGGGGCTGTGCTGCCCATAATTCAATAAATTAGCATTTGGTTATTAGTTCCTCTTGATTCAGTTTCAGCATTTAGTCTTGTTGAGTTTATATCTCTCACCAGTTATGATGGATTTAATAAAGTGAGCACAAATGCATACTTTACCTTAAGCAAGAGTGCATAGGGAGATGAGAGGCTTTTCACTTTACAAAGGTATTAGCCAGGAGAATACAAAAAATAAATAAATAAAATTACATTTATTTATACCATGGCACAGTGAACATACTAATTAAAGAAAATATGGGTCAAAAACAAAATATGGGAGAAAAAGGACACACTGAGTTGTTTTCATGTTCGTGGAAACAACTCAGTGTGAAAGTACTGGTGAACCTTGGCCCAAAATCTTCAGATGCAAAGAGATTTTATGTCTCAGTATCAATGCCAGCTTCTCTGAAGAAAATTCAGGAGCTGTCCTGAGAATCAGACAGATTTAGAGTGGGAAACTATTGTCGAGTTGGTAAGTAGGATTGCTGACAGGCTCTTACAGACACAACTGATTGGTAAAACTAAATCAGAAAGTAACTCCAGGATGTAATGGTCAATGGACTTTTCCAGTCATTTTGACCCCTTAAAGCACTTTACTCTTTTGGACTCACACTGAAATACACTGATCGGTAAGCAATTTGGGGTTAAGTGCCTTGCCCCGAGGCACATCAACATGTGTCAGCTAGAATCTAACCTTTTGATCGCAAGACAACTAGTCCATATTTTCCCATTTATGTGTAAAAATATTTTGGAAATGATTTATCAGGTGGAGGCTTGGACAATCTCATGGCTCAATGACTTCCTGACAAACAGACTGATATATTGTCTGTTGACCAGGCGGTCTGCTGCACAGCAGCACCGCAGGGATCTGTCCTCTCATCGTTACTTTTCACTCTGTACACGTCAGACTTCCAGTACAGGTTAGACTCCTGATTTCTACACCATGGACTTGAGACTCAACAGTGAATTAATGTAACAACGATATTTAATTTTTCCTTTGAGATCCATAAATTATTTTTTGAATTTTGAGCAGAATCATATTCCAGGGGAATATTTTTACTTCACAAAAACTTGGTATTTTATCAGGGGTGCGTACACTTCTGAGAGCCAGAGCGTATCTCTGGACTTCTGTGAAAACTAAAATCTGTTAGTTTTCACAGATTCAGCAGCGCATCAGAGATCTTTTTCTGATGCTCGAGACATTTGGCGGGAAATTGATTTAATATATTGCACAACAGATGAATGAAAAGGTAGCATACCTTGGCACATCTATTACTTTAGGAACATCAACAATTTCTGCCAACCTCAGATTTAATTCAGCTCCTACATGCACTGCTGTAGTTACAGACTGGTCCCTGCCAACTGAAAAGCAACCTGGTGATGCTATTGATTAAAATGAAGGAGTCAAACAACAAAATACCTCATGGGTACCATGAGTAGTTTCATTTAGTAACACAGGTGTGAGTTATGTCAAAGGGTTAAGAAGACAAAAAAAAAATACATTCCCCATCCTGGGAGTACAAGGCTTAAGTCATCCATGAGCTGGCCTGGCTGTTAACCTCCTGAACACAAACAGCTTCGCTTTGGTTTTCTCAACAACAAAATCAACAGCAGGAAAACTTGGACCCAACCAGTGGGTAAATACATGCAATAAGTGGCAAGGAACCTGGCAGTTTGTATGATTTACATAAGAATCTAAATTAATCTTAGTGTGGGAGAAAAAAAAAAGAAAATAGATATGCCCTGCTTATTAACAGTGGAAGAACTGATGGCGCTGTAGAAAACTTGGGACAACATGCAGTTTATCATAGATATTAAAAAAAGAAATCCCGAAGTTAACGTCTTCAGTCTGGGGTCTGCTCTACATTTTAAGGGTTGGATCAACAGTCAGTAACAATGACTTTGAAATGCAAAAATGTATCCAAAGATGATAAACATACATTTGATCATTACAAATAAAGAATGCAAAAATAAACTTGTCTGATTTTCTTTTTTTTCTATGTACTGCACCTTTAGTAAGTTCCATTCAAAGCCATGTTTCTATGACACAGTACATTCTTGAACAGTGACGAGAGGAAAGAAAAAAAAATCACTGTGCTGGCACAAAGATCCTGAGATGTTACTATTTCTGTTAAGATCTTATGAGAAAAAAATATACACACACTTGCTTGATCTAGTGCTCTTGCATTTTGACCTTAATAAATACCCTCAGTTATGCACATGTTACCATCTACGTCTACTTAAAGAAGTACCTAATCCAAGGTACCGGTGCAAAATAGGAGTCAGTTTTTTGAGGGAGAGCCAGAGTTATTTTACTGGAAGTACATCCAACACAAAACGGTGAGAGCCAGGGCAGCCCCAGAACCCACGCTGAGCAGGACGGGCCTCCAGTACTGCCACTTCTCCTGCTTCTTCTCTGATTCAGTCAGTTTTTGTTTCATCTGCTGGATCTTCTGTGCTGTGCCAGCGATCCTCTCCTCACGGTGCCTCTTCCTCAGCCTAGCAGACAGGAGAGAGTTGAGCAGTGAGGACAACATGCGAGCAGTTCATAAACGACAAATGCTGTGAAAATTTTTTAAAAAAGTGAAGAACAAGGATAAAGGTCAGCGTGATCAATTGGAAATTTCACTATGTTGGAATTTGGTTAACTTTTCAGTTTGAGTTAGGAATCCACAATATATTGGCATCTAAATCAGAAACAGCAGATGCAAGTTATGTTTTAACAATAAGCAGCAAATCAATTAACCTCATGATAAAATAAAATGAATTTGATCATTTCTTCCATGATGATTAATATTTTTTGAAAAGAAATTTTTGTTCATAGAGATCTAATCCATTCTATTTATAGTTTGGTTGTGTGAGCATTGTATTTCAATTTCATTTATTTTGAATATTTAAAGTATCTCCCAGATCCAGTGTTAAGGTTTTGTTACAAAATTGAACTTTATTGATCTTTGAGAAGCTGAAGTTGCATTATTATGTCAAATATTAATAAATTGCTATTTTGACAGGCCCACATCAGTATTAGCCTGATGAGTAAAACTGGGTTAATATTAATGACTAATATTTATTTTCACCTACTTGTTTGTTTTAGGAAGGTTAGGGGAGGAAGTTGGTCATGTGGTTTCTGTTCAGTCATGTGACAGTGATAGTCAGGCAGAACAGGATTGTGTGGTTGTTCAAAGCAAAAATAAAATGCAGGATGTGACCATTTTACAGCGTCAAAAGCGTAGGGAATATGCACGCAATACAGTTAAGAGTCAGGCATCAGCCATCACAGCAGTATTACGAGCTGCCCAAATTTTTATGTTGGTGCATCCCTCCTTGGAGTGATCTTAACCGATGACCTGCTGGTCAGAAACTTGAGGATCTGCTTGGTGAATGCACCGGACTTAACGTCTAAGGTCTGTAAACATAAAAAAAACTATGAAAACTGACTTTTTTCTTTAATATCTAAATATCAAAACCATTGAAATGACAACAGCAGCAGTCCAAAGCTCCTGCGAGTGTCTAATGACGATTTTTAATTGTAATAAAGAATGTTTTACTCTAGTCCTATCCAGACTTGAAAAAATGACTAAATCAAATTCCATACATTTCCAGACCTGAGAAGGCAGCCTGAGCTGTTCCTTCAAAGAACTGGAGCTGAGCCGGTCCCGGCTCCGTCTGCCACCACTCGCCAATTAGTTGCTGGCTTCAGGACCTTTCATTGAAGTGGCAACAGAGAGAAATGACAAGGCACTGACTTCAGTGGGGCTCAAAATATTAGAGCAAAGCAGCTCTGATTTATCATCTTGGACTTTCCCAGCCCTGTCTGTCATGAAACATGTTGGATATAAGAATGTTGACAGCCCTGAAACCTGCATGTTAAGGTCCACAGTCTCCAGGGAACACACCAAGAGACTGAAGATGTCATCGATTAGTTAATCCTGACTGCAGTTACGGTGCTGATCACTAATATATGATGCTAAAAATAGTTTAAATTTCAAGTCAGGACTGTCTCTCTCACACACTGACACAAAGTCTCCCTTCTTGATGAAAAAAACTAATTAATAATTCTCTAGAAAGAAATAAACAAAATATGTTATTTTAGTCTATTTATTTTTTCGTTTAACAGTTAGAGTTAGCCAAAGGCTTTTAAAACTTAATGCTCCACTTTCTATCAAAAACTGTCCACAAGTGCTTGATTGGTGCAACTCTAGTGACGTTTTTCTGTGTGAGGACACTCATTCCAAATGTGTTGAACTATCACTTACTGCACAGAGTTCTCGTTCTCTGGCGTACTGTGGCCATCTGAGTCCCTCGATGAGAGGTGGTCCCCTGTGCTGGGCTGTGGCTCCAAGCAGGGGCCGTTGGGCCTGCTGGCATTGAGGTGAGGTCTGGGCGGAGGCGTTGGAGGTCGTATATCCGTCTCCATGACTTCTCTGAACAGGCCAATCTGTGAGTTCTGCAGCAGAGGTCAAGAAACACACGCATGAGCAAATAGAAGCATGAAGGAAACAGGCAAGACTTTCTAAACTTGGAACCCAATCAAATTTTGTGATGGTTCAAGTCTATGTACATATTCAGTTATTGGTTTGTCTTCTGTTTGGGGCATTTTTTGAAAACATCGTATTTTCTGAAAAACAAGAAGATTATTAATCATAAAAATGCTATGGATGATGAGGACATGGATCGTTTGGCATGCTATATTGTTATATAATATTACTGAGAAGTAGGACTGCATGTCACCGCATCCACAGAGACACCGATTAGACAGTGAGTACAACTGCCTTGACTAACACTGAAGCACAGTCCACTTTCAGTACGGTACAGTCTGTCTCAACAGTCTGTTCTACGGCTGCGCATCAATATGGACTGTTTGTTTCTCTCTTTTCTGCTTGAGATTCAAATAAACAATATAAATTCAAAGGGGATTTATAAGCTAATGCTAACCTAAACGTAGCTTCAACTGGAAAAACAACAGTTGGAAGGCTAGCCTGTTAACACCAAACAAAAGCTATTACCAAGGTGACCGTTGCTCATATTGGAGCAGAAATTTAAAAACAAACAAATTGCAAAATAACATCAGCTAGAAGACAAACACAGCGCCTCATTTACATATCAAAGGAATAAATAGCAGTCATTAACAAAATGCTATAAACCTCCTTTATCATAGAGTCAAACTTTTATCAATGCAAAAGAAACAGTAAAGACCCCTGAGCTGCCCGACAAGGTGCCTGTTAATGCTGTTTAAGTTCAGCTTTAAACAAAATTGAAAAAAAACAAAAACAAAACAAACAATACTAGGAAATCTATAGTACATCATATAATGCTCACTGGACATTTTTTGTGTCGATAAGTCAAGTACATTTCTCATGTGTTTCTGTGTGAAACTGCAGCTCACAACCACAGATTAACCAAACTAGCTAATAGTTCCAAATTGGCATCAGCCCCTGATCAAACCTGTTCTGCAGAGTTGCAGGTCAGAATGAGCTTGGCACCCTCGATGATGGACATGTAGGAGAAGCGCAGTTGGTCAGGGGTCTGGATCAAGCCCATGCGATATTCCCTCATATCCAGCAGCACCTTCTGTATTTCCACAGATGACGAGCTCTTACTCCTGTCCATCTACAAAACAGATTTATCTGTTTATGGAATACATTTGGAAAGCGTTATGCAGTTAAGCAAATGTTTTCACTCCACAGAGGCGCATCAGACTGCTTAACAGCACGTTTCATGAGGTTTCATAAGGTCACCACCTTGGTGGCTCACAGTGTGTACCTGTGAGTCAGTTGTGCAATTATTTTTAATTTATCACAGTAGCTTGTATCTCATGTGTGCTTCCATTTGTTAGTCTATGTGCTGTTCATTGTTTTTACTACTGAGGGACACATAAAGGATTGTTCTAAGCTAAAATAAATTGTGTTTCAGAACAAGCGTAGATCTGTAAACTAGATATGCTCATCCAAGAGTCGTGGTCAAGAGTTGCTTGCATTTTATTTTGTGAGTCATAAGCTGTAACGTTTGGGAATTACTTAAATAGTTTTGGTAAAGCTTCATTCTACAGATTTAAAATGTAACAGTTCCTGCCATTAGTGGCCATTAGGTAAACATCATGGGAGCAAAGGAGACGCCACACTGTGTGTGAGAGAGTCCAGTCACCGTAAAGCAGGCTTTTTCTATTGTAACGCAAGATAAAATACTGATATTTTAAACTGCACTGTTGTGTTGTTTAAGCAGCTTGTACTTGTGATTAGCACCATTAGCTAGATGGCTAAAGTAACTGTTTTTGGATGTATTTGTAACAGAATGCAAATCTTTATTGTAATTTAGAATTTTCCAAAATACTGCCTACATTTCCCAAATTATGGTGTTTCCTTCCTACCCAGATTAAATGCTTAAAAGGATAAAATATATTTATATATTTCTTTATTCTTCCAAATGTTACTGGAAATGTATGTATTGTAAAACACCTCATAAATATTCAAATAGTCATCTATGAATCTTTTCTCAGTAGCAAAGATGACAGCAGAGTGTCATCTTTACAGTGACCAGGCAGTGCTTTGCATGGCATATTCAGGGACCGAGAAAAGATCCGAATACTGAGTTTCCAACTCGTCTCTCACTAGTTAAAACAGAAGAATTCCTGAATGTTTCCAGGTAATCACTGACATCATTGTTTTCTGCCTGAATGAACAAACTAAACATACCGTGAATAAAGTTCAGAGCCAACATGCCACAACTTCTCTCTCTAGCTTCCAGCATGCAAGTATTATCTTAGGATGACTGACTCATCGCACTCAGATACCAAACTAAATGCTTTAACCCTTTGCTCACAGTGTAATTAGCGTTAAGCAACTACTTCCCATAACAATAACACTCTCTCACCAAGACCAGGCAAGTGTCCACCAAGGCAAAGGTCCCTGAGCGTCCAATCCCAGCACTGCAGTGCACCACTGAGGGCCCATGTTCGGGCCCCAGGGAGCCAGACTCCCGGACCTTGAAGAGGAAGTTGAGGAAAGAGGCGGGAGATTCTGGCACCCCGAAATCAGGCCATGTGGTGTAGTGAAAGTGGTAGATTTCTCTGGATTCCCCCGTCTGGCAAGAAATGTGACATCAGTCATGAACCATGTGCAGCACATACAAGTTCTGGCATTTCTGGTTTTAACAGGAAATGTTTTTTTCTAACCGTTTCTTCACCAACAAGAAAATAATATTACTGGTACTGTAAGGGTCATTCTGTTGTGGGAATACAATGCAATTCCAACATGAAAAAAAACCCCAAACAACCTGAAACCTTTAAATGCACAATAACTACATTTAAAAACATCAGATTGTTCTTTGTCATTTTTGTCAAAATTATCAAGAACCAATGTGGAAAACCCAAAGAACCTACTTGTGGCCCCCCAGAGCCACAGGTTGCATCTAAACCATTTAAGCATGCTGCATGGTGGCAAGATCTTCCTCTTTTGAACTTTGATCTTTTTATGACATGGAAAATGCAGACAAAATTTGACAAACTAAGTGGAATTCACAACAAAACAAGGAATTTCTCAAAATATTTCTTATCAGCAAGTAGGAAAAGATATTTTGTGGTTTATGAAGTATTTTGGCTGCTCCAGCTTCCTGTACCCGTCTATCCCTTGTTAGTAAATAAGAGTTTACACACCTACTGGAACTTGCACAATCATTTACACGTTACAATAACATTTCCATTCTGTCTTTTTTAATGTTCATTATGTAAATAAAACAAATGCAACAAAAATAAATAGTCATTCTACTGAGTTGCATGTTCATTGGATCACGAGCACAATATTTCTATTTTCTAATTATTGTTGTTAATCTTGAATTCATATATTTTTGAACCCCTGGAACTATTTTAAAGACTCATTCTGATGCTGATGTTATTTTCAGGCTGTTTCCATTTTATTCTATGGTTGGCTAGACTCAGCTTGGCTCCACACAGAGAGAGAAAAAATAAAAATTGGTTGCCATTGAGAAAAGGCTCACTGAAACAACAGAGTCCTCCAGAAAACTAAACAAAACTCAAAGCGGTGCACAAATGTCAGATTATTCCTTAAAATGTTTCATCTCATGCTCACCTTTGTGTTCTCTAGTTCTAGCACCCTGATTGTATAATGGGACTGGTCCTCTTCTGACAACAGTCGAACAACAAAACCCGTATCAGTGAAGGACATCTGCAGCTCCTCTGAAGTTGGCCAGTACTGAGCACACTTTTCCTGTGGGGACAGAGAGGTCATCACTCAGGCTTGGACAGGAAGCAGCTTGCAGCGGTTTCATAGACAGATGAGTACGTGTGACCTTAAGCAGCATTCAAGACAGACTCACAGACTGAGTTAGCGCCTTTAAGTAAGTTAGTCATTCTCCAAACTCCAAGAATCCCACTGTATCTAACAGCAGTGGCGCAAAAAGTGGGTGCCCCACTAGAAAGGGCGCCACATGATGGCAGACAACAATTATTTCTAGTCCGCATTTTCTGTAGTTAACGGCTGTTTGTGCTTACAATGTGCCCGGATACACTTCAGAAAGTACTTAGCTGCACAAACACTGTAAGTACAACCTCTGTGCAGTCCTGGTAAAATAAACAAAAATAAGAGCACAAAACATAAGAGATTAAAGTCTTAAAATATATGACATATTGCATTGTTTCTGAAGGACTAAACTGTAGTGCAAAAGCACTATGTGACAAAACCAAGAGCAGCCTGGCTTCATAGATAGAGACTCAGATTGTAAGTAGCTGCAGATCGAATGCAGCGATTACTTGATGCACAGGATGTGCACGCATCTCTAGCTTTCTGTTCTTCAGCTTTTATGTGGATGTTACCTTGGAGCTAAACCATAGCTATGACCTTAGTGAAGCAGTTGTGGCTGTATCCATCATTTTCAGAATAGCTAAAAAAGCTATTTTCAATATTTTTGTAAGTTAGTCACTTTACAATTAAAAAAAAAAGAAAAAGAAAAATGGTTGCCCATTTTTCCAGGAATGGACCATTCAGCAAGTTCCTCCCTGTGAAGGTCAGTCATCCATTGTTCAAAGAAAAAACACTCATCAGACTTCACTATGTTAAAGTTCATGACAGAGCAGCTGCTAAGAACCAGTATGGCTTGTTTGAGTGGGTTGGGAGGGGAAACGTCTGGCAAACTGAATTTGAACAGCACACAAAGTTTTGGACTTGTTTCACAGCTGCAGGACCATGGGCATGCAGCAGCTCCAACCATGACCTCTCCTGTTTCTCAGGGTAAACGAGAGGCCGTCTGTCTCCCAGCTGAGGTGTGGCTGAATGTTGGTTATGATCAGAAAGGTACAACTGACAAAAGGGTCAGGAAGTGGACGAGACCTAGACAATGTCCAAACCTCAACCTGATTCAGTGGCTCTAGTTGACTCTAAGAGAGCTGTGCTTTAGAAAAACATACCTGAAAGGCATAATAAAACATAACTAAAACATCAAAGGAAGAAGAATAAACCAGCAATCCTGCACAGTGGAAGAGTAATAAGACCATAGAGATGATGATATCATATTCTTGTTGCTGAAGCCAAAACAACAACCTGAATTCAAGAAAAGACAGTAGTTTATAAAAGAAAAAAAAACTCAGTGATATCAGTAAAAAAACTGATATTTTATTCACAGCAGAATACTGATCTTAGTATAATGGATGTTGAACTTCAACCAAAATAAGCTCAAATTTGAGCCTGCTAATGTTTCAGAACAGTTTGGATGGGGAAATGTTTGCTATGGTGAAGCATTTTCTCTTCTTTTCAACAGTTTGTAGACGTCTGGGCATTGAGGTCACGAGTGTCTTCAGTCTTGGAATTTGGTTCCATTCTTGACTGATGCAGGTTTCCAGCTGCTAAGAGTTTATGGTCTTCTCTGACATATTTTGTGTTTAATGATGAGCCAAATGTTCTCCTTTGGTGAAAGATCTGGTCTGCAGGCCCAGTTCAGCAGCCATACTCTTCTCCGATGAAGCCAATACTGTTGTTATGGCTACAGTATATGGTTTGACATCGCCTTGTTGAAATACACGAGGTCTTCCCAGAAATAAACGTTTTCTGGACGAGGTTGCTCTAGATACCTTCCAGGGTTCATAGTTTCTTCCAAAACATGCAAGCCACTCGTGGCATCCATAGTCGCCAACAAGAATGTCAAATCTGGATTAGTCTGAATGTGGAGCACTGTCTCACTGTGAAATAGTCCACTTCAAATTCATTGTGGCCCACAGGACGCCATGATCTAGACCCTGTTCGCATACTTCATGATAAGACGATTAGGTGGAATCTGCAGATTGCACGGTGGATTATGTTTACTGACAGTGGTTTCCAGAAGTATTTCCAGGTCCATTTAGAAATGTCAATGACAAAATCATGCAGATGAGTGATGTAGTTTTGACTGAGTGTCCGAAGTCTGTGGGTGTCCAATAAAGATCTTCAGCCTTGTCTCTTACAGACAGGTTTCTACAGTTTCTTCTGATAATCTCACACATCTCATGATGATGAGATTTGCAAAGCCTTTGCACTTTGATTTAGAGGAATGATGTTCGTAAAATGGTCCACAATCTTTTATGCATTCTGTGAGACAGCACCTGCCCATCTTTACATCTGAAACTCCACACATCTAGGACATCTCTTCCATAGCTAATCATGCTGCAGATCTGATGCAAGTTAACTTAATTAATTAGTTTCAATCAGGTGAATCCTTCACACATTTCTGCTTTTCCAGGTATTTGCTGTGCTCCCCATGTTCTGTTAATAAAATGTCTCATGTGATTTGAAAGTATTCATTTTAATCAGCTCTAAAGAACATCCTGACTTTTCTAGAATTCAGGTTGTAGAAACTAATGAATCATAATCACGTTTTTCATACAGTTTGGTTACTATAGAATAAACAATAACAAACAATTGCAATGTTGTATTTCTCGCATTGTTGTACTTTTGGGTTAATATTTTTCAATGTTTAAAATTCTAACAATAGGTCAGATATTTTTCCACATTTTATGTCCTGAAACATAAAACCTCAGAATCAAAAGCAGGAGCACAGTTCCATATGGAAAACATAGAAATGCTTCTCTCTCCCATATTTACAGCTTATAAAGTTTTTCCTTTTCTCAGCTAAACAGAAGAATCCTCATCTCTACATATTAAAGCTCAAGCAGACAGAGATATAAATAACTTTAGGCTGTAAATCGGGTATGTATCAAGTAATAATGATAGACATTTCTGAACACAGTCCTTGTATATGAAAACTTGTGGTCATCATGTGCTGGGGTGTTACTCACAGATCCTTTCTCTATCACTCTGTTGAGCATTATAACAGCTTTAGAACATTGCTCCCAGACCATCAACCAGAAATGGCCACACGTATTCCTCAAAGGGCCCTGTCAAAGTAAAAAAAACAAAAAACAACAGTTTATGAAAGGTTGAGTAGAACTGTGTGCAATACAGCAGCATTTTCTCAATAGCTTCTGTACCTGAGTTAGAATGTAAGCTCTCCCGGCTTCTTTCACAGCGACTAAACTCGCGTTAATGTAGTCATTGTCCGCATTTTCAAGCTTTACCCGACTGTGATCATCTGACGAGGAAAAAAAAAACGACAGACGGCGAAGCAATTACAACAATGCAAATTCTCAGCCACCACATTGGGAAAAAAAAAAACAAACAAACAAATCTCTCGAGCAAAGACTCACATGGGCTGACGTCTCTGTAGCGATTCAAATTCCTGTTCATTGGAAGCTTAGCCACTTTGTACGGATATTCGATGGCTTGGTTGCGGATGTCCTGGTGCAAATGAGAAGAAAATGTTAAAGGTTAGCTTTCGGGTTGCAAACACAACATTTATATAAAGACTACACAAAGTGATGGAAGGTCTTCCTTACAGTCATTCTGCTCTTCTTGATCCACTTAAAGTGTTCCACTTTGCTTGATTCATTAGTTAGTGAAATGATTTTCTACTAGCTGGGTTCCTACACACAAAACTCTGTATGTACATTCACACCCTCAACTTCCAGAGTTCTCAGTCCTGTTTAAGTCACTTTGACTACGGTATTTATTTGAGAAGCAGAAACAAACGGTGGCACATATAAAGGTTTGCTTTAAAATTGAATAAAACAAACAATGTACTGTCTGATGCCAGTAGTGGAAATTTGATTTGCATTTTGAGCCCTTCTACTGAAACATAGTTGCAATCTTGAATTTTGTACACCAATATACAGCTAGTTAAAATAATGTAATAATTTTTTACTGTATAATTATAGTACTCCACACGGCTTATGGAAACTATATGTTTAGTTTCTGACAGCTTCACACCTGTTTGGGTTCAAGCGATGCATTTCCTGGACTCCTTTTAGACGCTGTGCAGTTTGAGGGATTTTTGATCGTACTCTCACTTTTGGACTGTTGTGTTACTGTTTATATAAATGGGAACGGCCGATTGGCAATTCAAGAGGCTAAATAATACTTGAACTATGGTCTCAAAACCCAGAGGAGTTGAAAAGAGCAGGACATTTTACAGTAGAATATTGTCTCTACCACCTGGAAATTGAGCTGTTAGCATTTTGTCACAGTCATGCAAAAGTCTCCAGTCAGAGGACTCCTCAATCCCTCTGCAATACTGACTGCTATTGGAATTACTGTCCACAGTGACTCTTTGAGGATGTCTGGATAATATTATGGCAAATTTCCTTTCCGGATCAAGTTTCTTCTTCTTCTTTTATTTAACTGAACTGAATACATGGCATAGATTATCAAATCAACAAGCCAGATTTGGATTAATTTGATAGAGTATTATGATTTTTAAAAGGACAAACATAATTTATTGCATTATTGTATTTGTATTCCCTTTGGAATTAATAATGTATTTTTTGAATTACTTTTTTAATAGAACTCGTTTAATAAAAAAAGAAACTTTTTTTTCGTCCATATATTTTCTGATTCTGTAGAGAAAATTGTTTATTTATTTGCGTCTCCTTTAAACAGCTGAAGTCAAATAGCAAACATTTCCCACTGCCTCACTAACAAAGTTAAAAAAAACAAATAAACCGCGCAGTCAGTTTCTACGTTAAACAGGAACTACAGTATTACAAAACTTAACCTGAAAATGCCAGATTGGCTAACACTGGTGGTGATAAAAACACATGCGTCTTTCTCTGGAAGTCTTTGGTGAGTTCTCAGAAACTGCGGCTGACGTCCGCCAGCGTCACCCAAGCAGAGAGAGAGAGCGAGCGCGAGAGAGAGAGCGAGAGAGAGAGAGAGCGCGAGAGAGAGAGCGAGAGAGAGCGCACGAGAGAGAGAGAGCGCACGAGAGAGAGAGAGCGCGCGAGAGAGAGAGAGAGAGAGAGCGCGAGAGAGAGCTCCCCCGATGCACGTTTTCCGGCTACGGAAGTCAGCTACCCTGCTAGCGCAGCTCGCTACTTTCTCACAATTAAGTGTTCGCTGGCTTCCTGCGGCGCCCGACCGGTGTGCGCCACGCAGCGAGACGAAGCTGGTTAGTTAACACAAAAACACACGCCACGGCACAAAGCGGGGAAAGTAGTGAAACACAAGGAGACGAGTCTGAGAAGTGAACTGGCTAAGTTGGTTAGCAACCGATCGTCATAGAAACACGAGAGGCCCTCGGTGTCCCGACTTACATTGTAAAGGTTCTGCCATTTCCCGGACGAATCGATATCCTCGAATTCTTGCTCCATTGTGTCGCGGTTGGTGAAGTGAGAAGCCAGCCGGATGACTTCGGGGTGTTTTCGCCACCGTTGTCCAACTTACTTCTCTCTTTTAGCCATCTGAAGAGCACTGTGTGTAACCTGATGAATCCCTGCGGGGAGTCAATCTGCCTCTCCTTCACTCTGACTCTCGCGGGTTGCCAGGTTGCGCAACGGGAGCTGGTCACTTTTGCCCGTTTCGTACTTTTGTCGCTCTAGTGTCTAGTCGTTTTGTGTCGACTTGCGTCATTTCGTGCCCGCCTTAAAGATGTTTCCTTTCAATGTTTCTGCATTGCCATCTAATGATACCTCAAGATTCACTAATTGATACCCCCATCTCATCCCTACATGTTATTACACCGTTTATTTTTCTTGCTTATCATTCATTTTAGATTAATTATGAATGGAAATACTGAAATGCTTCATTTTCTTGTCGGTTGTGACTTTATTTGACCTTTCCCTTGCGGGCGTACTACGTGTTATTTTTTATTTAGTGCTCATAGTTTGCTTTAAAATTATGACTCCATTATTATGAAAGCAGAATGGTCCTCAAAGTTATTTTTAGGTTATTGCCCCCATTTTGCATATTTCGTAGAACTTCCTGACCAGAACGGAATCACTATTAACTTGAGTGGAAATGTTTTTTTTAAGGTACCAATTTCACAAATCAGTCCAGTTTGACCAGTTCACTTAATATAGTTTTGTCTCAATTTGAGGTGGCCTTACTGTCAGGAAAGCAGTTATACAGAAAGCCTTATAGGCATTTGTGTTCAGATAAAAAAAGTTGCCAATCTCTGTTTTACTGTGAAACATTTTTAGTATATAGAACTGAGCATTCATTATAAACTTAATCTAAACTTAATCTAGCATACATGGTTGAAAAAAATAATAATTGGCACTTCCAGAAATAAGAGTGCAGAATGAACCAGGCAAAAAAGAAATAATAATAATAATAATAATAATAATAATAATAATAATAATAATAATAATAATAATAATAATAAATGTCTGATTAATGGGCTCTATTTGAAATTGTTTGTTTTTGGAAATCGACCATAGTGTGGCACATTGGAACAAACCTGGCAACCTTCTAAATTACGCTTTGTGTTCTTGCTCCTACTATTTTACCTGAGAACTAAGGCTCGTCGCAAAAGTGCATTCCTTAAGACTGAAAAAAAAATTCAGATTTTGATTGTCTATTTTTGATTACATTCACCTTTTACATGCAACATGGCACATTTAATAAACATTGGCACAATAAATAAATAAAAACATTGTTCAACATTGTTTTTATGTTTGTCAGAAGGCGCCCCCTTGTGGTCAACGCAGTTCAACAACACTTTCGCGGGCGGCAAAACTCCAGCAACCGGAGTGGGAGACACATGACAGGCCTACCAGCTAAGCCCTGCAACTAGAGGAGCTGGAATCATGTTCGTCGCTCGCAGTATCGCCGCTGACCATAAAGATCTCATCCACGATGTCTCGTACGATTTTCACGGCCGCAGAATGGCGACTTGTTCCAGCGACCAAAGCGTCAAGGTGAGCTGGACTCGGCGTTAATGCTGAAGCTCTTAGCCTAGCATGTTAGCATTCCCCACGTTAGACACTGTTAGCTCTGTAAACATCACTGACTCATTTAAGTTGACTTGTGTGAGAAAATGTAAGCCTCCTTTACAACAAGGCGGCTTTATATTGCAAATAGGGCGAAATAAGCTCGTTTTACATATAATGCTTATCCGACTCAATCAACTCCATGGAAAGAATTTCGTTTAGATGGTTTGAAATGATCAAAACAAAAGGTATACATGTACACTGATAATGTTACGGCACTAAGGTTTTTGAGTGAATTTCTGCCTCAGGTGTGGGATAAAAGTGAGAATGGAGAGTGGCAGTGCACAGCCAGCTGGAAGGTAAGCACCTCTGCTTTCTGTCACTGTAAAACTTGCTACAATATAAATCCCTGTTAAGCTGGTGGGGCTGTCACTAATGACTTCCTTGTTATTAAGCTGTGATCATCTGTGAGGTTAGGAATCCTGTGAATAGTTGAGTTCTGTAAATACCTGACCAACTTTTTTTGTCTGAATAGTCGCTAGATATGGCAAAACAGTTGCTTAGCTGGCAACAGTGCAGTGACTGTTGTTAACTGCAAAACATACAGATGTGACCTGGCGGGCGTGTCTGTCAGTCAAATCTTTCTAAAACCAGAGTAATTGAGAACAGTGGTTGGTTGTTAGGCTTTTGCCAGTGTAGATAAGATTGGGTTCACATGTAAGTATCGGCCGATCACTGATCTCCCAAAATTAGGAAAATCTTTGCGGCTTTACCGGTTCAGATCTACTATATGTGTAATGTTTTCTTGATTTATTTATTCTTAAAGGTAGTGGATGCGGCTTATATTCAGGTGTGCTCAATAGTGTGAAAATTAAAGTAAATTAAAATTGAAATGTAACATTGAAATGATGTTGACTAAAAAGAAATATCAGCTGATATATGAGGATTACCATTGGTACCAATGTTACCCATTTTTAGCATAGAAATATTGGTCTCTATTGTAGAACTGGGCTGATATTATCAACTAATGTTTATTTCCTTCTTGCCAAGCAATGTTACATGTGGAGTCATTTTTTTACAGTGTTGAAAGGGAATGTATATCTATACATATTGGTTATTGGCAATAAAAGCAACATTAATGTCGTATGTCATTTTTAGCTCAGACGTTAACATCAGTGCATTGCTAATCATGCTATTGATTTGCCCTGGCAGCCCTATAAACACTCTTACATATTTACCTTATTCCTCCATATCCCATGTGTGTCTTGAGCTGAAATTCATGTCCTCTTGCCTAAATACTGCGAAACTGGTGTGAGTCTGAGAAACGTATCCCTTTGTTGGGTGCAGACTCACAGTGGATCAGTGTGGCGAGTGACCTGGGCTCACCCAGAGTTTGGCCAAGTCCTGGCCTCCTGCTCGTTTGACCGAACAGCCGCCGTGTGGGAGGAGATCGTCGGGGAGTCCAACGACAAGCAGCGGGGCCTGAGCCACTGGGTCAGCGCAGCCACTAGCTGTTTAAAAACCAGCCCAGACTTGATTCTTGTCGTGTTGAGATTTAACCCAGGCCGTCCACGTCGCCTCTGTCCAGATCAAGAGAACCACGCTGGTGGACAGCAGGACATCTGTGACGGATGTGAAGTTTGCGCCTAAACACATGGGCCTGATGCTGGCCACCTGCTCTGCAGACGGCGTGGTGAGGATCTACGAGGCTCCAGATGTGATGAACCTGAGCCAGTGGTCTCTGCAGCACGAGATCTCCTGCAAGCTCAGCTGCAGCTGCATATCATGGAATCCCTCGAGGTATTGCAGCCGTATTCACTACCCAGCAGGTTCCCAGCAGGTCTGGCTGGGCCCTTTGTCTGCTTTGCTTTAATGTCTGATACAAATCCTTATTCTAATCTCCAGACTAAAACATGTAAAAACTAATTTTTGGAAAATTGGTTTCCATTAGTAATTAAAAGTAGTGAACTTCAACCATAGAGAAAAAAAGCATACTGCAGGTTTTTGATAACAGAAGCTGTTGGGAGTTCAACAGACGATGAAAGGATTAAAAGATCATCCCTGTTTATGCATCGGTGCGTATGTTCCTTAGCTTTATGTGATTTTTTTTTTAACAACTCAAAGAACGTGTTTTATGCATATCGTGGGATGTTTCTATTTTAATGCACTATTAATGAAAACCTGATCAGTTGTTGGAGCCACTTAGGCAAAGAATGTAGCAGCACCTTCCTTGTACTGCGACACGGAAGCATTTAAATATTTTTAACAGTGTTCATTTGTGTCGTTCTCCCTAACAATTTTCATGTTGATGAAAGCGGTGTATAGTTGGGTTTATTTATTTTTTTATATATATTGGTCTTATTGTTGCCGTTTTCATCAGGTCTCATTGTCTTCCAAGCCTGCGTCAGCAGTTTGCACTTCCTGTTGTTTACCCTGAACACCGTGTTGGTGCTCAGTCACAGAATAGAACATGCTCCGCTTGAGCCAGATAAATCGTCTCCAAAAGTTTTGAACAGTATGAGCAGTAAAAAAAATAATGAAACAAACTAACTTATTTTTAAGTTTCCATGTAAATAATGATTTAAAAAGCATTAAAAATGTTCTTAATCTTACCAGTGGATTTTAGCTGATTTTAGTTGTTGTAGGATTTGTCGTTTGACTTTTGGCAAAAGACCACGAGACATTTCTCCTTGTAGACTCACAGGTTTGCTTTGCGTGTATTTAACCAGAATGGCCGACACTTCGATAGGTTTCCTGTCTCCCTTTCAACCTGGCGTTGACATGTGCATTCGAAGCACACCAGAGTTCACTTCAACCAAACCCAGATCTATGTTAGTAGGCGGACCAGAATTTTCGTTTTTGGCTCCGCATTCACACCTAACCAAACAAAGTGGAGTTCAGTTAAAAAGGATAAATCAGGGCTGGTGTGAAAGCAGCCTAAGTGATAGCTTCTCCTCGCAAACTGTTTTCTCTGTGAATTGAATTATTATTCCAGACTAAAGCTGCATGTCAAATATTATTGTTCTTAAGATGTCCTTCTTGTTGCACACTGTCTCCCTGCAGTTCTCGAGCCCACCCCCCTATGTTCGCCGTGGGCAGCGATGACAGCAACGCGACGTGCGGTGGAAAGGTACAGATCTACGAATACAACGAAAACACGCGGTAAGAACCCCATTCCGTTGGATTTCAGTACAGAGTAAAAACCGCAGCAGCCATGAGTCGTATTGTCCTGTTCCAAAGGAAGTACAGTAAAGCAGAATCGCTGATTACGGTCACCGACGCCGTCCACGACATCGCCTTCGCCCCCAACCTGGGCAGATCTTTCCATGTGCTCGCCATTGCAACCAAAGATGTCCGGATATTTAAGCTCGTCCCTTTGAGGTAATGTCGTAGAGAGAGTTATATGCTCAAGTCAGAATCTTTATTGGGACCCACTTGTTCCCGTGAAACAAACCTTCTTTGTTCTGGATTCATCTTTGTCAGGAAGGAGAGCACGGCTACCGGACCCACAAAGTTTGAGGTCCAGATGGTGGCTCAGTTCGACAACCATAACTCTCAGGTGTGGCGCGTGAGCTGGAACATCACCAGCACTTTGCTGGCCTCGTCTGGAGACGATGGCTGCGTACGTTTGTGGAAAGGTTGGTCACTGGTTCAAAACTGTTGTTTACCCGTCACTTTTTTTCTTCTTCTTCTTGCTTCAACTTTGTTGCTTTTTTTTTTGTATGTTATAGGCTCCAGATTGTAGAATTTTTATATACCAAATACAATGAAAGCCATTCAGGTGACATCAGTAATGAGGGAAAATAAACTATAGGACATTTCATTTCAGTTGTTTAGAAAACTTAAACTTCTATGAGAACATGTGCTGTTTATCCTCTGCTATGTCAATCAGTTTGGACTCCATACAGCATTCTGTGACTTTATTCCACTGTTTTCTAGCCACATGGCCTTTATTCCCACCTTTAAATTATGGTCTGTCAGTGATTTGTAAGGGAAAACTATAGCAATGTCACTTTAACTACATGAACTAGATTACATATATCACAATTAATCACATTTCAATTCAAATATATTGGCAAATTAAGCAACATTTTCAATTCAAACACCTTATTATTGAATAAAAAGGCAGCAACAATCTGGTACAATTTTATCGATTGTACCAGATTGGTACAAATCGATAAAATTTCTTTTGAAATTTGGTTTTGTGTTATGGTAACTGCATTTAGTCATAGTTTAAAATTTACTGATATTTATTGGTGCTCTGGATCAAACAGTGGAGAAAATGGTTTTTTAAAAAAATGTAAAAAAATATATTATTTAATATTAATTTGAAATTTATGAAGATAGTAATAAATCAGTTTTCTTATAAGATGTTGTTCCACCTTAAACAATACAATAAATTTCCACCCCTACACCATAGGAAAGAATTTGAAAACCATGTTTTATTTTCCTTCCACTCTAGTCATACTCTACTTTTGTAATTTTCAAAAAGTAAAAAGGTTTTCAATTAATCAATCAATCAACTAAGTTTGTTTGTGTGGCACATTTTAGTTCATGGCAGTTCAAAGTGCTTTACATCCTAAAAACACAAAAATACAGAGTCACTAAAGGCTCCGTAAAGTCAACAATTGGGAAAACCGGTAACAAACATTACATTTTGATTAGTGCCATCATCAATTCTTATAAAAATATGTTGGTCAGTGTTCCATTTATAATGGTTCAAAAGTTGCTCTAAACAGGTAGGTTTTTTGTCTCAATTAAAAGGAACTCAATGTTTCGGCTGTTTTAAAGTTTTCTGGAAGGTTGTTCCAGATTTGTGGTGAATAGAAGCTTCTCCATGTTTGGTTCTGGGGTTGCAGAGCAGAACCAGAAGACCTGAGAGGTCGGGAAGGTTGGTTTGACACCAGCAGATTTTTAATGTGGTGCTAAGACATGCAGCGATTTATAAAATTCATCAGGACAAATACTTTCACAATGCACGCTGTTTTAGAACTTGCTAATGTATGTTTTAATATAGCCAGTAGGGGGCAGCAGAGGCCAGTCTAGCTTTTTTTTTCTTTTTTTTTGGAGGTCTGGACATATTGAAGCAACACTTCCAACTGATGTTTCGGTGTTTCCCCCCCACAGCTAACTATATGGAGAACTGGAAGTGCACAGGCATCCTGAAGGGAGACGGCAGCCCCCTGACGGGCTCGTCCGGTCAGCCCACAGCCATGAGCACGGTGGTGGGCTCCTCCGTTCAGAACTCCCAGAACATCCTGAACGGGATGTCGGCAGGAAGGTAGGTGGTGTGGTGCCGCCAGCCGCCACTCACCCAGCCCGAGACCAGTCAATAGAACTGCTAACCTTACCGTGCCTCACACTGATTGGAGTGCAGCTGATCACTGACAACAAACCTGGACTCACACTGGTCTGGATCAGGCCTCTAGAGCTGGTGTGTGTATGCGTGTGTGTGTGTATGTTGGCTTCTCCTTGATTTATACTGATGCATGTTATGAGCAGCGTTTATGTTTCCCTTTACTTTTCCAAGAAGGACTGTTTATCTTTTAGTAAAAAATAAGTCAAATAAACTTGTTTATATAAATTTGATTTGTGGTTATTATTTGAGTTGCTAAAGTTGCTTGAAGGGAATCGGCGAAATGTGAACTGTGTGAACTAAATGTTTCCATGAAGAGTGTATTAGCACCCCGGGGACAGTTTCCAACTCAATCATTCCAAGTTCTTCTTATTTGTCTGTTCAAATGAATGTGTCCTGGTTCCAGTCTGGCCATGATGTCTTCCTCTGGAGGGGGACACTTTTATGAACACTTTTAACCAGCTGTGAATGTGAACATGAGGATGAATACAGCCATTTTTAGAATGACAGAGAATCTCATTTTCGTTTGTACAAATTCAATTCCTAAGCAGTAAAGCTCACATGGGGGGTGTTGCATGCAACCACTTTACATACATTTTTAATTCAGTTAATTTCAGGATCTGTAATTAATCTCTTTTTTTTAACAAAAAAAGCAACATTTTCAGTTTAAAAAGCCCTTTTGCTGCTAAATTATCAAATAACTAGACATGATAGCTCAACAATAAAGATATCTTTGGTTTTTAATTTCTTATTTAGGTTATGTAACCATAAGGTGCCAAATGCTACTCTATCTGTTCAGCTTTCCAGTGTTTCAGGAACTCCTGATCATTCATGGAACTTCTTTGGAAAAATTATTCTTTAGAAATTCAGATTGCGGATGCCTACATTACCTGCTTGTGTTGAGGACTGAGATGCTATTTTAGGGTTGGATAGCTTTTCTGATAGGCTAACTCCTTTTAGCACAACTTGGACACAAAAATAGTCTTTTCCAGTATCCAATCAGATTGTTTGTTGAAGTAAAAATGAACCCCCGGTGGGCCAAATAAAAAAAGTGTATAATATATCAGCTTGACAAAGGTGGCAGAAAACAAAGGGGAGTCGGGGCTAACTGCTTCTGACAGAGCGGACAATATGTGGCTGTATTTATTTTCAATCTAATTCCTGTCTCGAATTATAATAATTATTATTATAGACCTCACTCTTAATTCAGATCTAACACAAGTAACCGAATTGGCTCACTGTGTGACTTCCTCTTACACGTTTATTTTTGTATATTTTCAGATTTCTGTATGCAAAGTCTTAGCTAGGGATGCACCGATGTGAAAATTTGGGCTGATATTGATATCTGATACTAATGTTGCTGTTACGGTCAATATCTGATATTCATTATATATTTTTTCTTTAGTTAAACCCCCACCATTTTACGCTGCATCACTATAGTGGTGCAGCGGGGGGCCTAGAAAATCAGATTCAATTCATACAAATGTCTTCAAAAATCAAGATATAAATGTAACACCCAATAAATAAATGTGGAACAAAAAAACTAAAAATGTAACATTTTCTTTACTAGCCTGGTCTTTATACTTCCTCTTCAAAAACCACTTACACAAACAGCAAGATGGAATTAAACATTTGTTATTAGCCCAGATTTACATATTGGCATGATTACAATGTAAAAAAAAAAGGATTAATATTGTCTGAAACCGATATTATTGCCGATATATGGTGCATCCCTACTCTTAGCATTCCAGTTGTTGTGTGTTGATGTTGAAAAAAACCTGTGGTCTGTTGGTTTGTTGATGTTAATTTGCTCTCATATTGGTTGTTGCATGCAGGATTGCCAAACGAGCCCCCTTTGCTCCTCCCCTGCGACAGCTGACCTCTCCAAAGATAAACCAGAGTCCTGCGTATTACTAATAACACTCGAACATGACCAGCCATTTGCCTGAAATACAACACTGCCTCGCAGCATACTTGTTCTTCTGGCATGAAAACTGCACGCATGTAATCCACCCTTTGTTTTTGTGACATGCAGCCAAGTTTCATTCATTAGATTTCTTCACACCCGTCTTGAAAGAATAAAGCAAATTTTGCCATTTCTCAAATTTAATCTCTGTAGCCTCCTTTACATCCTTCCTTCTCTTATGTTCTATTTGTTGTTGTTTTTTGTTTCTTCTGTTTGTTTGTCTCCTTCCTTTTCCATCACTCTCCTCGTTGCTTCAGGTATTTCTTCCCCCCTCTGGATCCTCCCAGAGGGGGGACCAGGCATGGTCACCTGCTGCCTCCGTCGTCCCTCATAGAGCACTGTGATGCTGAGCCTGTTGTTCAGCCTCAGCAGCTGGCTCTTGTTCACAGGCGCTCCTCTAGGGCGCTGCTGTCCCTGCCAGAAACCGAAGAGCAATGACTTGACTTGGAAGGGTTTCCCGCCTCCCCTTTTTCCTGTATTTTTATTAGAAAATGTAGTGCTGGGAAGTAATGCTGAAAATACCTTATTATTCACTTGCAATAAAGTTTTTTTTTTTTTTTAAGTTTGCAATGTTTTGTTCTTGTCATGAATTGAAGGACTTCTGAATACAGCTCATGAATCGGGTGTTATTTTTTAAAATATCCTGTGGAAGTAAATTTCAGTCATTTATAACTACTTCCCATTCCTTCCAACAAAACCAGACACCATGTAAGTGACTCCTACGTGGTGAAACAGGAAATAGCTTATGATTCATTGTCATGAAGGTAAAATTACACTCTTGAGTTCATCAGGCACAAACAAGATATCTGACTTTAACATGAACTCAAGGTGTGTTTGCTTCTCTGCTGCATTTTGGTTAAAATATGTTCTTAAGGTAAAGTTACATTGGGTAGAGTACTTCACTCAATTTACTCAAGTACGAGCGGCTATACTTCGTTATTATTATGCTACAGTTCATAATATTACTCAAGTAAAAGTAAAAAGTACCGTCTTCTCAAACTGCTCTGAAAAGCTAAAAGAAGCTTTTTTCCATAAAAAACAAATATAAAAGAAAAAAATTTAGTCTGTGACCTGCAAAAACTGGTGCAGCTGTTTCAAAATTCACTTTAGCAAGAAAACTTAATTAAAATGGGCTGCATGGTTAAGTTACCAGCATGGTGTTACAACATGTTCTGAAACTCAAGGCCAAATCGACCTGGTGTTGGCAACAACGTTAAACAGTAAAGGTTCCTTAGTGGCCATGTTAGTCTTCTGACCTCATCCTCATCATTTTTGTCACTTGAAACAAAAAAATAAATAACAATTTGAGCCCGACATATGGGAGATATGTGAGAAAACAAAGTGTCTCATTTTGTTACAATTTGAAATGAGCAAACACATTGATGATTCTTTTATGACTTGATTCTTTATTATCTAGTCGACTTACTTATTTTGGTTTCTCACGACAATGCACTGAAATAACTGCAAGGTTTGCTCTCTCCAGGCAGCTGTCTGCCAGTCCAGGCGTTCCTGCAGCTGCTTGACAGATCACATGTATCTTAGCACATGATATGCTTCTTATTTAGTTGTGGGGTCCATTCTTTACCAACTTAGTCAACTGAAAAACTCATACAGCTAGAAACGTTGAATAGCAGTGAGGGATGGGTTTTTACTGGCTACCCAACAGGAACGGGTTTCACCTCAGATCTGTACCCAACAGTCAAAGCAAAATAAATATATGAAAAGGAAATATAAACTAATTGAAATTAACTGGTTGGTAATGCACAGCTTTTAGTTCACTATTAGTAGATTATTATTCAATAATTTAAAATGTTCTTGGTCTTACTATTAAAACTACTGGTATATTTCTTCCACTCTTTCCCTCAGCTATCATATTTACATACTAGGTCATGAATACACTAAACTGGTCAGACATGTGCTCATACTAATTCAGTGTGGAACTTACTGGTACAGTACTTGACTTGTCTGAGTCTTCCCTAAAGAACAAGAATTTAGTATCGACAGGGAACTCACCTCTGAGATACTCCAATGTTCAGTCTTGGGGAAGCTGTATTTAATATTTACATTCTCCCTGCCTCTCACTGGCTCAAGTTATAAACAGTAATAAGACTAGTTACCATAGTTATACAGATGGGACACATGAACAAGAACTTGAAAAATATATCCAGGCATTTATCACTAGTCAAATTGATTACTGTAACGATGTCTTCATATGTCTGACTAAAAGGACAACTGCAGCATTTCCAAAACACTACTTCTTGCATTTTCACTAAACATAAGTAAATAAAACACACCACCCCCCATTCTGAAGTTCTTACATAAGCTCCCTGTAGCTCAGAGAATAGACTTTAAAATACTTTAGTTTATGAACCACTGATGACTTAACACCAAAATGTATGAAATATTTGTTTTCATTGAATCAAGCTGCATTTTTTGTTATACTCTCAAGTAAAGAACACAATATGTACATTATATTCTAATGCTATTAATATAATTAATATTGTATGTTATTAGTAGTCATTATTGTTAATAACAATTAATATTCACACAAACATAGCTTTGTTTCAAAACTAGTAAATAATCACTTATGTCTAAAATATAGTTTGTTTATTTTTTAATCATGTACATAAGTTGTGAATTTAAGAAATCATATCATGTTCTAGCACAGGTGTCAAACTGGAGGGCCACTGGTCTGTAACTTTTAGATGTGCCTTTGCTGCACCACTGAATAACATAATTAGGCTCTGGAGAACTTGTCTACACAAGGAGGAGATAATTAAGCCATTTCATTCCAGTGTTTTGTACCTGTGGCACATCTAAAAACTGCAGGACAGCAGCCCTTGAGGACTGGAGTTTGACACCCCTAGAACGCAATGATAACAAGAATACACAAGTAGTATATTTTCCAAACTGCTCAATAAAGTGCGGCACCTGTTCCGACCTATCACATTTTGCTATTTCCGCCCTCTGCGTTGTTTCGGCCAATCAAATCATTTAAAATATTTAGGGCCCGCCCTTCTAATATGACGCTCACGCGGGCTTCCTGTAGTGTCTGGGCGCTGCTTGGTCTTACGGTTCGGAGTAGTCCTGTTTGAAACGCTGTATTTTAATAAATAACGAGCAACATGTGTGTTCGGGAGCGAACAACAGGAACTTAACTTCACTTTTCAGCGTGTTTGAACAAGTTTAAAAGACAACGCTCGAGCTGGAGAAGAATATTCAATCTCGGCCCGCTCCTTGCGAGTGAATGTGAGTTTTAAGACAAAGTAACGTTGAGGCTGTGAACTCTTTGTTTTTGGTGAAATTCATAAAGAACTAGGTTTGCATAGAGCAGAACCTGGGTAGTTTGTCATTCCTGCCTGTAAGTTTGAAAACTTTATTGAACAAAATAAGCAACTTCAGTTGTTGTGCTGTGAAGGGTGACAACTCTTGTTTTTAGCAACTAGCTAAGCAAACTGTACTCTCATAATTCGAGGGTAAATTTGACCGTTTATGTCAAATACTGTCCCAATACGAGTAAAACCGACTTCATTAAACCTCTTAAATCTCACTTTAACTTGTTTTCATGGTTACACCAAATTAACCTGTATTTCTTTGTGTCCTTCTGAATAAAAGAAAAAGAGAAAAGAAACTGCAGCTCGCTTGAAATAACACCAGTTGTGTTTATTACTTATTTTTAGGAAATATGGCGGAGAGTTTTTACAAGCTGGAGGATGAAACCTTCCCCAGCTTCCTCGGCAGGTCTCTGGACAGCGACCGCGTCACACTGGAGAATGTCACTCTGGGTTCAGGTCCTGGGCTGCCTGTGGCTGCCTCCACGGTAGCTAAAATTAGACCCAGCTCCGACAGCAGGTGGGAAAGGATGGGACCTCCTACATATTTCTTTCCCCCTTCAACTGTATCAAATTGATCGATATTTTCCGTGACAATGGAAATAAAAAGAGTCATCTGGTCAGCATGTCTACAGGGCTCAAGTTTTATGTTTTTAATTCATCTGTCCCGATCCCTTTCCTTTATATATTACTAATTCTTTGTGAAATCATTGCAATGTGATCATTTTACAGAGGAGATCACGAGGAAGCTTCATATCTGGAGGGCAAAGCACAACTAGGCAAGTCACAGTCATCTGTTGCAGGACATCCCAAGTTTTCCCTTGGCTTCAAAGATGATTCGTAAGTATAAAACAGGTTTTTGTTCTGATATCTTTTTTAAATTCTCCTAATTACCCAAACACACACCCTTTATGGTGTGTTCAGATTAAGGAGTTATGTTATTGTTATTGCAAAATCACGTAACAGTTGGTAATTTTTTTAAGAATAACAATCAAGCTCTTTTTTTTTTCTCTTTAAACATTTTTTGAATGTTGGTCCCATGAGAGCATCAATAACAAAAATTTCATAATATGCTTAAGCCAAGTTCTTGTTGACCTTTTAACAGCATATTTGCCCTACTGACTGTAATTGTTGTAAAGTTCCCTATTTGGGTATTTATTTTGACGCTCCAACTGCATGGAGTCAATAATTTTTAGGCAAAAGAGATGAGATTTTATTTATCTTGTTGTATTTGTGAAAATTTCTCTTTGCTTGTGTCACAGGGAGAATGCAAATGACTTCATTGCCACCCACCAGCTGACAGACATGCTTATTAAGATCAGTCTGGATGGGAGTCCATCCAGAAACCAAGGTTCTGTGCTGGGCCTTCTTCCCACCCAAGCAGGTTCAGTGTCCGGTCGGCCCACAGAGCTAGGGAGCGGTGAGTCCTCCTGCCCTCCTGAGACTCTTCTTCTCCCAGACTCTCTTTCCTTTCCTGCCTCGGTGCTGTTGTTTGTACTTTTTTCTGCTTTTTTGCTTGTTTCTTATAGAGGAATTATTTGTTTGTAAACACAGTGGATGCTCGTGCACCTTGACTTTAGCAAGAGCCAGGAGGTTTTTAAATGCTCTCTGGTTACCATGGTTGCCAGCATTAATCTTTCTGTTTTAAAGTTAGTTAGCATTTTGTCAGTCAGTCAGTGGACTACAACACCCATTCATCAGGAGGATAAATGTCACGCTCAAATCTCATCCGCTAAATTGACATTAGTGGAGGAGATGCGTATCAATGACTCATAAGTATTAAATGCAGGTGAGTCGATAAACGACAAGAGAAAATGACCTAAACATCGGTTATTACTTGCTCGCTATATTAAAGCTATTTCTTCACAGTGAGATAATCAGCTCTCTGAGATATGCCAAGTCCCTCTAAATAAGACATCCCTATATGTGGTGAGCAATGAAGGCACCAGAATAGGGCTTTTCAAAACTAAATTTTCATTTATAAAAGAAAAATAAATAGAATTCATATTTAGTGTACAAAGGACAAATAAAATCTTTTCTTCCTAGCTTGGGCACAACTTGAAGGAAAATGTAGATGTAGCTGCATCGATCAAGGCAGGTGATGAACTAAGCCATCAGAAATTAAAAATGCAACAAGTTGAGCGGGAAGGAGTGCTAAGCACACAGACTATTTGCTTAAAATAAAAGCTCTGACAACCGCGGGCGCTGCACAGCTGTGTGCGGGCAAAGAGGTGATCTGCACTGGCAGCGAGTTGTAAATTACTTTGTTAGCCTTATTGTACATACTTTCTGTAGTTAGAATAATGTATTCTTGCTTGTCTTCTGAAGGCAATATGTGCAGTAACTTGGCTGCTGACGCAACATGACGTCGAGTGATAGTCCTCTGATTTACAGTAGCTCCATTTGGAAATGAGCAACTTCCTGATTTCCTCTCTTCTAATTAGTGGAATCTTCCAGGATTTGACTTGCAGCTTTTGTTTCAACCAACCTAGTTTTCATGCTTAGCCAAAGAGAATGAACTATATTACTTCATTTGCATTTTTTAAAAGAATTCTATCGGACTACACAAAAGCAAACTTGTTGATTTTAGCCAAGCAACGTTTTGATAACGCATAACCAGAAAATCTTCATTTATTTGCTTGAATATTATAATATATGACTCATATATGACAAGGAAATACAAACGTTTTGGTGTTGGATGAAGACTGTTGTAACTGGAAATCTTTCTACCTTACTAATGGAGTTATGTTTATTTTATAGATCTTTCAACTGGTCCTTTGACAATTGCCCACCTGGGCCAGAAGAACAGCAAAAAGGTACAAGATTGTTTAATTACAACTTTGGTCTCTGATGACAGACTCATTGTATGTGATTGTTGTTGTATTTGATTTCTATTCTTCTCTATGATTTTGGTCAGGGAGCTTTTAGCACCTCAACTCTGGTCTTTGTTTTCTTACTGCTTAACTAATTTTGTCCTTTTTTTTCCCTTTACTGAGAAATAGTAAAGGTCTGAACTGATCTTTGTGTTTTTACTTTTGACTTGGATTCACTGTTATTTACTCATCATGTTATATTCATCCATATGGGTTCAGGTTGTAGAGGTGACATCTGAGGCGGACCGCTTGCAGCCGGTGTACTGGACAGTGACTCCTGCAGTGGCAGTAATTCCAGCTTCTTGGCCCATGAAAAGCTCATGTCTGTGGACACCATGAACAGTGATGTGACAGGTACTGTTACTCTTTCCATTTACAGGGTTCCTTGCAGGTTTGGGAAAGTTTAACTTGATCATTTTCTTAGTATGGATAAGAAACTTGAAGAATAACTGAACCCCAAATCAACTTTAATTGGCAGTAAATTGTATAAATTGATCTTTTAGGGCTCTATCTTTATGTTAAGCAATTTGTGATGTTTCTGTGTAAACTTCTTTAATTCTGCAATATTTAGCCTACAACTGCCTCAGTGCTGCCATCTTTGGGCTGAATGGTAGCTACTACAATCAAATGTTCCTATTGGTTAAACTCTTAGTTAAGTCTCTGTTGCAGCCCCACATTCAGGTATAACGCCATCTCATTCAGACACACGTCTCTGTGGTGAGTTGGAAATGTGAGTGTGATGAGCATTTTTCTTTGCATTGGCTCGGCTCTAAGAGCAGACAGAAACACATGATGTCACTAGGTATAGACCACACAACTGGTCTATACCGAGTGACCACTTGGTCTTGGTTTCTAAAGCACATTGTCAGAACAAATTTAGAATTCTGCAGAGTTGAAAAGAATTCCACTGAAAGCAGCTCATTGTCCCTTTGCACAATCACATTCCAACTTCAAAATGTTTTGGTAGAACTGTTTGTTAAACATGAAAATAATTAAACCCAGGGAGGTAACTGTTTTAGACTTGTGTATTCATATTTTTACTGTAACTGCTTGGAACATTATGGAAGTCTGAAAGGGAAAATTGCTAGGAATTCAGATTTATAATAGTTTTATTTTTTTTTATAATTTATGTCATGATGTGGCAGAGCGTGGGTGTAGTTTGTGACCGAGCCACAGATGGTAGCTCTATATGTCAATATGTTTGGCCACCAGATGATGACCTTGACCTGAACAACCTGCCTGATGATGAACTAGAGGCATATTTCAACAAACTGGTTCCTCCAGCAACACAGAGAGGCAGAGTGGAGGGGCAGGAGATTCCTGTGACTGTAAGATCCCCATTCCTTTTCACATCAGTTAGATTGTGTTTGCCATTTTTAAAATCTGTTATTTGATCTTTGTCTGCACTGAGCGAATGCGTTAAATTAAAAACTGAAGATATGCCTTAATATGTGTAATTTAAGTTGTTTATTTTTGCTTATGCACAGGGAGTGGGGGTTGCTGCAAGTTATACGTCTGATGCCAGTTCAGAAGAGGCACATAAGAGAAGATGCCAGTTCCTCAATCAGGTTAGGTTCTTTTTCATCACTGATTTTCTTTCTCGTCAACCTCATCACAGTTTACTTTATGAATATGGAGTGTTATATTCATAATTAGAGTTTATATGGCTGCTGAAATTCCTGAAAAGCCTCAGTTTCAATAAATCAATATTTGGAAAGTGCTTGATATTCAAACTGCACAGTTTTGTACTAAAGTGCACTCTAACACTTGATTAAAAGACTAAAGTTGGAAAATGTTGTTTACAGTTGAAACAAGATCTTTTCATACACCCCATAAAAACACACAACTTTTTGTATTCTCATTCTCTGAAGTTAAATAGATTTAACTTTTTTATGGACTCACCAATTACCAACAAATCACCAATTGTCAGAACATTCTCTGTATGTTGTGTTTAAGCATTTAAACACATTTGTCCATGAAGGTTATTTACCTTAAAACTATTTGTTTGTGTTGTCTCAATGTAATGAATATGGTTTTTATTTTATTTGTTAAAAAACATTACAGATGTTAGAGGATGTTTTTCTTAAATTAGTGTTTTGTTCCCAGATCAGTCAGGTGTGTGAGAAACTTTTTGAAACACAAAATTCTGTTTAGTTTATCTTGTCCCTGCTATACAGTACTATCACAAGACGATAATAAATTATATATACCGGTAACTGTGTATAGCAACTGTCTTTTTAGTTCATTTGTATTATTTTATGTGCAAATGGTGATCCTGGAAAAGTTAGAAAACTTACCTGTAAAATGCCCGAATGATGCTTGATTTTTACTGCAGGAAAATTCGGTTTAAAAGTAGCCTTGCAGAGTTGGATGAAGAGTTTTGTAACAATTTTTCTCCAGGAGGATTTCCGGATGCCTGACGTGCGACTCGCTGCTACTGGCATGGACTCGTGTCCAGCCAGTGACGAGGACACCGAGGACGAGCTGGAGACGGCCAGAAGGAACAACGCCAAGACACGGCTGTTGCCCAGCACGTCCAGACAACTGGTCAGAAAATAGTTATTTTGGAGATGTGAAATGTCTTTAATCTAATTTGCTGGGATCTGTGACAGACTGTGGCTTGAGGTGGAATAAAAAATGTTGAGCCCCAGAGAAAGCCTTAAAGAATAATCAGGATTGTGATGTTGCCACTGAAGCAACAATGTTCCAGCAGTTAGTTTTTTTTTCTGTGGGGATCCACATGTTTGCACAGGTTGGAGAAAGTAACCGTCCCAGTTTCAGGCCGGGTTTAGAAGGCGGCAGTTCAGGCGACGAGGCTTCCTCTGGTCGTGGCGGTCCATCGCTGCTTCCTGGGATCGGACACAGACGATCAGCTGAAGGACAGGTCATCAACTCTCCTGTTGCAGGTAGAACACACATTACATTATATTTAGAACTCCTAATTGCACTTTCTGAACCATTTGAAAGAAAGTTTGTTGCAATTTATTTTTACATGTTTGACCAAGTTAGTCAACCTATTGTATTTTATTTTATTTTCTTTTAATTTTTTGTACTTCCTGTTTTTCTAAAAATGTTACTGCTCCATTTTTTTATTCATACATCTCAGTAAATTATATCAGTGAAAAATTTATGTATTTCAGTTAAAAAGAGTGAAATTAGTGAATTAATTAACACTTGTCAATTTTTGGTGTCTCTCTTTAACATTGGGGCTAAGAGCTAAAAAGACCAAATAAATAAAAAATATAGAAATATTATGTTTACAAAGTTCTCAAGGTCAGGATTGAAACATTATACATGGAATGCATAAAATTGTTTTTTGCTCTTTTTTTATTTTAATCAGCTGTAATTTGGTTTGTGAGGTGTAGCAAAAAAAATTTTTCTATGGCTTTCAATCAGTGGTGAAAAGCCTAACCTGCTCTGTTGGTTTAACCTCCAGTTTGTGCTGTGTCTCTGTAACAGGGGATGGAGGTGGCGGCGATGGCAGCAGCGGCAGCGAGGAAAGCGGAAACGACGGCGGAGTTTCCACCATCCCTGTTCCAGTCAAAGTCCTGACCACATACGAAGCCCTGCGTGGCCTGGGCTTTGTGGGGAGCAGGCCTCTTAGTGAGGAGGACAATAAGGACTTCAGCAGTCTCCCTCAAAACATGAACGGTTTTCCGAGATTTACACAGGTGTGATATCCTGCTGGAGAGAAGGCTAAGAAACTGATTGTAAACTTAAGGATAAATCTCCTTATTTGGTTTGGTAGGATATTTTACAATTTGTTGGTAATTTTACTGCTCCTCTTTAAGTTTACAGTAAAGACGAATTTAAATCCAGTTCTAATGCGACTGTGAATTTAGTAACTTTTTTTCTCTTCTAAAAGCAAACTTGATTCTTAATTGGCTAATATGCAACTTATTAGGCAGACATGCATAAACAATGGTTTGAAAAAAGAAAAATTGGTTCGCAGTGACAATATAAGTCTTACTGCCATTATGTACCCAAAAAATGGAAAACATGGAATTGTAATGGCAGATTAATCATCTTTGGAGTTTAATTATTTCAGAAAGTTATTGATGATTTGATTTAATGGCATGCGTGTACCATTGGTGTATCCATTCCTAACTCTTCTTTGGTGATCAATGCCCTTCAGTATTTCCTGTGTGTGTGTGTTGCGTCTTGCAGATGGGCGACCGCGTCGGACCTGTAGGAACCGGTGAGGCCAACTCGTCCTCCGCAGTGGCATCTGACACGCACTGGAAGAGGATGCTGGACAGACAAGAGCCCCTGGTAAGAACACAAACTACTTCTCTACAGATTGGTTTTGGGGATAAATTTCCTCTAAAACTTAAAAAAGCAGCATAAAATGGAAGTCTAAACAGATTTTATTGCCAGAACATCAAGAGGTTCTTTAAAAAATCTTTAATTTTAGTGGAGCATTTAAAATGTAATTATGAGAATTAGGAGATGGAGCAGCATTATAACATTGGCTTGTAGGAACATTTCAGAAAATATCAATGAGAAGTCATTCAATTCAAAATAGTCAAACCCATTAATTATACAGAGATATGTCAAGTGTTTTTATCTACATTGATTTTGACTTAACGTAAACCTGTTAAGTTTCTGAGGAATTTTAAGACCGAAAGTTTAGAAAACCTTTTAGGTCATTAAAGTCAATAACATTCTAATTGTTCCTTTTTCTTAAATATTAGCTTCAGATACAGTTTGTATGGTATGGTACAGATTAATATTGCTATAACAATTGTGGTTTGATATTGTGAGCAACCCAAAATGTAACAAATTTTTTTTTCCTAAAAAACTTGGGAAAGTATAAATAATGAATGTATGAAACTGTTGAGTTTCACTTTTTGTGGGGAATTATTCAAATAAATGTTAACAATGTAGTTTCAGATGCTGCCAGTATGAGAACATTGAGCATACACTTATTCTGATTATCTGTCCCATACAAACTGCAACATTTAAGCTGCAAGTCCAAAAAGAATTCTATCATATTTATGCCCACCGACCAGGCTAGCTAACCAGGCTAAAGATTAATATAATCCAACTCTAATGGCTACAAAAGGTGACTGTGAATTTAGTTTTTTTTTTTCCTCTTCTAAAAAGCACAATTAATTCTTAATTAATGTACCTGAATATATCTTCAGGTACACTGTATGTACACTCACTGCTTCTGGAAGGAATGTTCTTGAAGATTTGTTGTCCAATGCTGTTAAAAAAAAAAACCTCTTAGTGTTTCTTGCATTACCACAATTTTAAGTTTTCAGATTGAAAATATTGGTTGGAATTCCCAATAGGTTACATTGTAGGCATTTCAGAGGATTCCTATTATCTACTGAAGTCTTCCTGTCTCGTACCCTGAATGAATCAGATGTTTCAACGTGTTATGAAAATGGTCTCCATCTATAGATCCCTGTGCTTCATTTCAATTCATGCATAAACACCTTACTGGTACTGATGATGGCTAACTTTGAGTCTCCTGTCATCAAACAGTGTTGTTACCACAACCCATAAGCAATTAATATGGAAAAAGCTGCGATTTTTCCATTTGAGGATCTTTGCCATCTAACTGTTGTGTAGGTGCTGGACACCAAAAAGGATGCTACTGATGACGAGGCGGTGGATGAGCCTGATGGGGCCCGGCACTCGTTGGGTCCTAGAGGAGGCCCCTGTGGTGATGTGGCAGCTTCAGATGGTGCTAGTGAAGATGACAACCCTCTGTCCACTTCGCTGGAAGCAAAGTATTTCTCCCAGAGCTTCCAGCAGGATCCGGAGGAGTTGGATGAAGGCTGGACCTACTGTCCAGACCACATGGAGCTGGAGTTTCAGCAAGGTGGACTAAAAGTTCACTTAAATACTGACATCAACTTCAATCCTTCAGTTTATTTATGTGTAGTATCTGGTGGTGCTCCGATTTCAGTTTTCTAGCCAATCAATAGTTTTTAAAAAGCCTAACCTGCCTAAACAGAATTTATTTATTTATTTTTTTTGTCTAAAAAGTCACTAAATATATTTTGCTAGTTTGGCAACATTGGGGTGACAGTGGAGGTTAACATGTGGAGGGTAACATGTGACCTGGTGGGTTCCCACAGATTCCTAAAAAAAATAAATCATAATCACTGAATTGATCAATCTCAAGAATAAGGCATTGATTAGTGTAAAAATTTCTCAAATCAGTCTTTCAGAGGTCTTAAAAATGTTGATGTAAACGTTAACGTAAATAGGATTATATGGTTGTTGTTCCCCATATTAAAATAATTGGAAACATTTATTTATTTTCGAATGTTTCTCGCTGTAACATCACGCTATCTCCATACAAGCGCGACATTGTTGAAGCTGGGACTCTTTGTTCATTAATGATTAAATAATAATTACCTGCCATTTGCATGTTTTTATGTTCATCTTTGGAAAGTTTTTCAAAATTTGTAGCTTCTAAACTGGACCAAAAAGTATTTATGTTAAAATTGTTTTCCGTGGTAATCATTTTTCGTTTTGCTTATTCTGAAGTTGGTCTTTAAATTTGATCTCAAGTGACGTTAAAAAAAGTCTTGAATTTAACATAAGCTGTATGAGCCCAGCTCTGTCACAGCAGAGCAGAAGGGTACAGTGGTTTATTTTCAGACCTAGTAGATCATTTTCATATGCAAATATCGGCCAATCAACCTAATTAAAGAAATCGGGGTCAATTTCTCGGTGCACCCGTAATAGTGTCTATGGTTCTGTAACTACATACGCACTAATATTCTAATTAAATATTAACAAGCTTTCTTCTTCAGGAGCCAACGCCGGTCAGAGTGTCGTTTACCAAAATGAAGAAGGAAAGTGGGTCACCGACCTGGCTTATTACTCCAACTTTGAGAAAGAAGTTGATGAGAAGAAATTGGATAATAAGAGCCAATATCTAAATGAGGACTTTCTACCTGCTGGTATGTACAAGATCACAACTTTCTTGTGAAAGAATATGTAAGTGATTTGCTATTAAATGCACTTTGCTGCTACTAATTTGCAGGTGATGCTATGGAGAAGATAGTGAAGGATCAAATGGAGTTTGAGAAAGAGAACCAGTTTATGCAGGTAAATCATTTTGGGATCAAATTTGATCCTGATTTCTATCTTCTATTAAAATTGTTCCAGATGACACAGGAAGCTGGAACTCTCAGGGTTTAGCTTACAGTGCCTCCTCTGTTTAGTTTCTGAGTATTTCTCTCCACCAGGAGGAGCAGATTGAGTCAGCAGCTGGAGGCAACACCACCTTCCACAGTGACTCTTCCTGGAAGATTCCACCCAGCAGCAACATCCTGATGAGGGCTTCCCAGGTCTCATCGGAGATCAGGCAGGGAGATGAAAGCTACCTGCGGCTGTCTTTAGGACAGTTCTTCAGCCAGCGCTCAGAAGCTCTGGGCTGTCTCGGCAGAACTGATGGAGATGATGTCAAACGGGTCAGTAGATGCAGTCTGTCCAGGTTAATGATTTATTGTGATTCCATGACTATTTGAAGCTGATGGATTCCAGTTTTGGTGTTTGTTTTGTTACATTGAAATCGTTCTCTGTTCATTCAGCCATCCTTTGGTTACATCATCACATCTCCAGAAAAGAGGGAACCTTTTCCACTCATCCAACCATCTGACTTCTCATTTGATGACAACTTGCATCTCGGTGCCACTGTAGACCTTGGTGAAGTAGACAAAACTCTCAACACAGGTGTGGTTGGTAACATCTGACATCAGACATGCAAATCTTTCAGTATACAGCAGTTCAATCCTGTTTTTAGAGTCAAGACTTTTGATTCAGAAACTAATATTTCTATTCAAACTGCCTGGAAATTCCATTTTAAATTGTGACTGAAAAAGGCAGTGTAAACAGGACATCTATTTAAAACATTAAAGTTCTGTACTGCTGCACTTTGTCAAATTTCTTCAGTTTGTCCTTAGACAAAAATAGATTTGTACATAAAATTCTGTAACTTTTAATTACAGATTTATTTTAACCAATATCTAGTCAATGTACCGGTCTGGCCTTTTCTATATAATTTTACAAAATATGAAGCAGACTAAAATTCATTTTTGAGCATTTTTAGTCGATAGTTTTTTTCTGCACCTCTGACACCACACTTGGTTACAGTTGGACTTTTTCATAATTCATTTAGTTAATATTTTAATTTTTGTCTGGCTCATTATGTCCTTGCAGAAGATTTGGACAAAACTCAGAATGCTGCTGGTGAAAGGTTGCCACCAAAAGGGGATCCTGACCCAGAAACTTGTACAATTGAGGTACCTGACACTACTTAAGATAAATAAAAAAGCAAAACCTATAATATGCTCTGATCTATCTGGGTTTATTGTGTGCTTCAGGACCATATAGGAGCTGCCATGTCCGAATACACTCCAGGCTCAGGATCTGAGTCGACCAAGGCAAATCAAAGTGTTTTGTCTCCAGATAACAACAACAGCTCTCTGATGCTCAGCATCAGCACAATTGCTTCGGCTATCGCCAACGCTTCCATCAGCACTGACCCGTCCCAGCTGGCTGCTCTGATCATGGGTCTGTCCAAGAAAACCAGAGCCAGGAGTGGGCCGGAGTCTGGCGCTGCCTACAAACGGCCGCCCAACACGGATCATCATGTAGGACTAATTTATCTGTTCACTGTTTGACTGTGTCCCTTTTAATGGTGACTGGTAGAGTTAAAATGTATTGTAATGAATTATGATTTTGGTTTATTTATTTTCAAACAAGTTTTTAAAAACAATAAAACAAGCAATCATTAGGGTAGAGAGAACATGGGAATGCATAACCAAGAACAAAATAATTTGTTTGAAAAGAAAAAGGAAGAAGTGAGTGCTTATTTAATCCTACCTTTTATCTCAGTTTAATGAAATGTGCCCTAACCCTTACCGTAGTTGTTTTAACTACATAAAAGTAGTTAAAACAATGTTATAACATTCATGTGCATGTTCAGTATACTGTGCTAAAGAGCCAATAAATATATAATATTATTGAGAGAACGATGTCAGTAAACCACTCATCAAAATGAACCTGATTGGATCTTTTCAGCTCTATTTTGGTATTTTGCATTTGTTTCGAGTGTTTGTTGAAAATTAGATGAACTCCTTTGTCTGCCCTCCATAGACCCCCGCTCAGCCAGATCAGAGCACAGTCTCAGATGTCCTGCAGAGGAGCATCTATGTTGGAGAGACAAGCGCCTTCGACATGGAAAAATACTTGAAGAAGACCAATGTGTCTGGCGGCAGCGACTTATCTGACACGCATACGACCTTTAACCTGAGCAGCTGGACCGAAAGTTACAGCAACTGTCAGAAGAACCCCCTATCAGGGTGTTCCAGTAAACAGGATAACGCGACTGTGGAGTGTAACGCAGCAACAAGCGGTGGCAGACCTGACAGGAGCTCCGGGCCTCATTGGTATCCCAGCTCTGCCAGACGGACAGTGGAGTCGGGACAGAATTCAGAACCGTTTTGTAAGAATGACAAAAGCTTACCTAGAGCCTCCCAAAGCTGGAGGAAGTCCCAGTCGAGCTCTCCTCTCAAAGCTCCGTCACCCCGAACTCAGAGGTTGAGAGGTTTAGGTCAGGACCCGCAGGATGGGCCCAGAGGTTCTGCAGAGATCACACCAGGGAATTTAATCACAACTCTATCTCGAAGCTCAGAGAAGCAGGCAGAGGTCCCAGGAGAGAGAGCTCAGTTTTCACAATGTCCTCTACCTGGTGAGTAATACCCAGAGGTTTACCTTTACTTCAAGATAAAGGTATTTACCTTTACAGTCAGTAAAGTTCCGATCCACATCGATGAAGCACTGATCCACTTCTTTCACTTTTGATACAGATATCTGAGATTTAGTAAAAACCATGCTGGATTGATTTAAAACGTTTTTTTTTTGTGTGTAAACACAGACATACATATACTAAATTATAAATTTATTTGATAACTTTGCGTCAGTTCAGCACACCTAAATACACCGGTCGGTTCACTAGCTTGGTTAAACATGTAAAAACAAGTTTAATTTGTACAGTCATTGCAGTTGGGAGTAAAACAGCCAATGTAAAGAAACTGAATCGGACCAAAACAATAGGTTGACTGGTCAAACATGTAAAAATAAACTAAAACCTTTCAAAAAGTGTAATTACAAATTCTGAATATAATGTAAAATAAAGTATGACGTTGCTCAGAGAACAAAACAGACTTGGATTTAATAGATGTACCCTTATGAATCAGACACATCGTCGCAGATACCTGAATGAGAATTTTTTTCAGTGTTGGTACCAATACAGTTATTAATATCAGATCGGTGCATCTCTAGATGTGACGTCATGACTGTTTATTCTGAGATTCGGTATTTGGTTTAAAGGCATACTGGGAGATTTCCCTGAGCAAAGTGTGGAGGAGACTCACAGCAACTTCAGGCCCTCCACCTCCCCTCTGACCCACTCGTCTCCCAGTCAGACCTCCATTCCCACTGCTGATACCGGGTATTGTATCCAACATCCATTAGTCAAAGGATTAAATATTGCTTCTCTTTGCTTTTTCACTGGTTCAAATTTGAAAATGAAAAATATTGTCTGTCTTCCCCGTTTGCATTCTCCCTCCTCCGCCAATGGCAGGCTGGCAGACGGACATCCAGGTCCTGACCTCTCACCTGAGTCTGTCTGTTCCAGCCCCAGTCTCAGCAGGCTCACGTACATCTCGGTAAACGACAAAACTGCTTTGCCCACACCTGAGCGGCGAAAGGTACAGCTGGACTGAGATTTTTATATTGAAACTTTGGGAAGTTTTTGACAGGTTTTTTGTTTCTTTTTCTTAGATGTACTGTCAATAAGCTGTTGTCAAAATTTTACTTTTGTAGGGCTTCACATGCATTTAAAATTTAAATATTTTGAAAAAACTGCCTTTATTGTCTCAAATGGTTAATTGGTATTATGTCTACAGCTAATGATTCTTTTGTTAACTAATTGCACAAAAAATGTACACATTCTGTAGATTTTTAATTCAATATTAGAAATGCATTAAATGATGTAAAAGAAGTAATTCAATTTGTTTTGAAGAAAATTATCTAAAATACGATAAAGTAGCTTTTTTTTGTAAGTGTTGATTAATGAATGAACCTGCAGCTAAAATATTCGACTTGCATAAATGTGTAAAACTCAGGCATTTCTTCTGGACTTATCAGTACAATGTTTTGGACTAACAAATTGATAAACGAATAGCCAAACTTGCTCAATATAATTTTTTTATTTTACAGCTTAGTGCTAATCTTTTTTTTTTTAATTTTATTTAACCAGTTAATAATTTAAGAGCAAAAGCTACTTGATTTCATTTTTATTTATCTTTACAAAATTTGAATCAGATGAAGCTAAAACTAATCCACTTTATTCTTGGGAGAATATTCACACACAGTTTTTTTTTCCATCTAAAATGCAAAATCTATATGTTTTGGCTCTGTTAGACTTTTAACAAATTACCTTTTTCGGAGTCCAAATACTTCATTAATGATTAATTGACTATTGAAATAATCATCTTATGAGTCAATTGATTTATCTAAATTAATCATTTCAGCCCTAATTGGTATTTTTGTTAGTTCTTGAGTGGTTTCCTGGTGAAACTTGTTGTTTCATTTCAGAGGGAATCCACCATGGGACTGAGCACCACCATCATCAGATTCAGTCCTACCCCACCTGTGGAACCAGATCTGCAGCTTGACCCAGCCAGAAGTCTTGATAACATACAGCAGTCTAAAAGCCTGGACCCCATACCACCACCACAGGGCAAAAGCCCGGAGGTCCAATGCAGCAGCGCCGCTCTTAGCTGCACCCGCAGCCAGAGTGAATGTAGCTACCCTCCTGCTCCTGGGGATGTCGTACCTGGATTCACAGTCCACAAGAACCTGCCAGACTCCAGCAATAGGAAGTTGGATAAAGTGGACTCAGGCTATAGCAGCAACCTAAACATCCAGCATACCATCAACTCTGCAGCTCCTCTAGGACCCCAGCAGTGGGGAGCCGCCCCCTCTGCGTCGTCATCGGTGTACTTAAGCGGGCTCGGCATGCCGCCCCCTCCTTACACAGCAGAGGCTCTTCATTATGTCCACATCCCAGGTTTTAAGCCTCGATGTCCAAGCATGGTGGATCTTCCCCACAAAGGAGATGTCCAGTCCATCCTCACCAGACGCTCCCTCGTCAGCTCGCCGCTATCTCTGCAGTTCCTAGGAGCTGATGCCCAGCTGCATTCTGGGGCTTTTCATATGGGACCGCCAGGAAACGGTCTTTACAACATGTCCTCTACAGGCACGTCTTCTGGTTTTTACTGCCTAAAGTTTGTCACAATTACAAATTTTTCTGGATGATAAATCATCCTAGAAGTTATTGTGGTGATTGATAATATTGTTGCTTTGAGACCATTTGAAGTAATATAACGGTAATGGTATGATAATCCAAGAACATATTCTCAAAGATTAATAAAATTTTAATTGTAATGAATGTTTAACATTGAAACTTAAAGACATTTCAAATGTCTAAAATGAATAAAGCTGAAACTACAAATAAAATGTATCTACAAATTTGAATTCATAGTTTAATTTATCATGTGATTAATCGACTTATACATTTGCCTAATATAAAAAATAACATGCTATCTAGCCAACAAAAATATTTTAGATCTGTAATAACCTATACACAGGCTGCAATGGAATCTAGATCTTACTTTTTTCTTTTATCTTTGATTTGAAAGCATAACCTGTGTTTGATGGTCATGTTGGTCAAGCAGTTGGACTACGATTTTCAAATATCTAACTGAGCCATTCTTCCCACTTCAGGTTCTCTGGTGGTTCCAGGACCTGCTGGACCTCATCCTCTCACCTTACCCCATCAGAGTCAGCATGAAATGGGAATAATGGGGAAACCCTACAGCCATTATGGTGGAGAGTCTATGATGACCGGCGGTCTTGAAGAACTGAGAGGTATCAGTAGTAGGCATAACGGAGTTTTCTACGTTACACAGTCTTTTGAAATCTGCTGTTGAGACCAGGGACATGTGAAGACATTGCAGAAAGCTGCCAGCATCAGTTTATGCTCTCCTTCTGTCATCCTCAGGCCAAGTTGTGGTACCAGAGGAACTTCGCTTCCCTCACGCCTGCTGTGTCGGCATCGCCTCACAAACCTCCCTCAGCCTCTTCAACCCGTCTGAGAGATGGCAGCAGGTTTCCATCACTGTTACCAGCCTAGCCATTGATGGAGAGAAGGTTTGTTTAAAAGTGTTTTAGTTTTTATAAAAATCTGAGTAAAACTCTGGTTTCATCAATTTGATTTGCGTAGCAACACATAGCCAGAATTTGGTGGAGGGATTGTACTACATTTTATTTTTTTCACAGATTTTTTTTATTCCCCCCCATTTTCATACCTGCAGGTGGACAGCTTGCCTTACCAGTGGCTGATGGTGAAAAACAAGACCATCATCGGTCCTAAGAGTACAGAGGAGCAGAAAGTGCTGCTTGTCCCTCCGCAGCCTGGAGTCTACCAGTGCATCCTCAGTGTTTGCTCCTGGCCCGCCTCGGCTGAGACGGAGCTGGCTGCCAGAGCCAACATCTTTGCCAGACGGGTGGTGCTTATTGCAGTGGCAGAAAACCCAGCTTTAGCAGTGAGTGACTGTAACGTGAAACCAAACATGAGGTCATGAAACAGACCTGGAAACATGCAGGTAATGTGTGGTTGTTGTTTTTATGAAATATTCCTTTGTGGGTTAATAGATTGAAGTTGGTGAATCTGGCTGTTTGGATTTTGGAGACTTGCCAGAAGGGAGCGCTAAATCTCTACCTCTGAGGCTGCTGAACAGAACCCACGCTACTGTACCCATCCGCCTGGTGATCAGCGCCGTGAGTTCTGATAGACCCATACTGATCCATTAGCCCAGTCATCTCTAGTTGCAAACAAAGGGTTACATTTTCTTTAGTTTTCTATAGCTGAGCTTGAACACTTTCCTTTTGTAGAACAGTAAACAGAAAATAAAAGCAAAAGAAACCCCTCAAAGAATTGATACAAACAAACCTAACAGTTGAAAGCCATTAAATAAGAAGAAAAAGAAAATAAAACGTTTTGTAGATTTTTTTTGTTGTTGTTAAAGCTTATGAACACTAATGTACAATATTAATGTAAGGTAATTAAATACAAAGCCCCAACCCCACATATTCACATTTCTTCTAATTTATGTACCATGTCTCCCAAAGGCCTGAACATTTCTTGTTTTCCTTATTCTTGGCGTACTTTTCCTCTCAGAATGCCATGGCATGGCGATGCTTCACCTTCTCCAAAGACCCCGTTGGTATGACGCCCGAGGCCACACAGCAGGCTGCACACATGGCCCCGTTGGCCTCTCCCTCGGTCATGAATCATGTGATGCACGCCAGCTATGGAGAGGTTAGTTCTGTCTAAATCTTCTGTTAATAAAGTGATATCAAAAAGTCTGAATTGTTTTGTTTATAATGCCATGTAGGAGGTGTAGTAATATGGAATTCATTCGTAAATGTCTTTTACCATGCGCCTACAAAGCACCTTAACACAACACATTTCTCCCAGAACCCAGAAAGCTTCATGGTCTGGGTCCATTTCAAGGCTCCTCAGAAGTTCAGAACTTCTTCAGGTACTGATATGAACTTTTAACTTGATGTTAAGTGAAGTCATCCAGTGAATTTTTAAAAAGTCTGGTCCTACATCTGTACTACTAAGTTACTAGACTCTACTGGTGTACGTTTGGTTTTTAAGAAGCCCTGGGTCCAGCGGATGAGTACAACGCTCGTGTGGACATTGAAATGGACTCTCCAGGTCCCAGTCGCATCATTAGGAGTATCCCCCTGAAGGCCAAGTCTGGAACTGCAAGAGTTCATGCTCCTAAAGCTCTGCAGGTAGCACAGCTGTCACGTGGTTGTTCTTTTATGTCATTCTTTCAAAGTTACCCTTTACTTTAAAATATAAAGGGTAGATATCCAACCTTTTTAATTGTCTTTACAAAACACTTAAAGAAGACTATGCTCAGATTTGTCTTAATTAATTTTTTCTTTCATTTGAATTTATTTGACTTGCATTTAGGGATGATGTAGACTGTGTTGTAGATTCAACATTTCTGTAAAAATGTGAATTTAGTGGCAACACATCTTTGTTTGTTTTTTTCCTAGACTGTGAGCCTTTTAGCTCCTGTGGGTAAATGTAGTGAACAGACTCTGCCATTAAAGAATGCAGGAAACATCGATGTTCGCCTGAAACTCAAGGTAATTCTGACCTTTAATTTTATGATTAGATTCAGGGTTTATGGTAGCTGCTGACATTTGGGCCTCAGAACTCTGCATTAGCATTCGAGAAACATGTTTTCAAGTGTTCATTTGTTCTTGGACATTTATTTGTAACTGACTTTTATTTGTATTTTTTATTTCTTTCTCTAGATCAGTGACAACAGCGATAGCTTTTCGGTGTCACCCGATGAACTGTTTCTGAGAGTGGCAGAAGAGCAAGGTGTCGTTTTATCATTTAAAGCACAAAGTAGCAGGAAGCGTAAAGAAAGGTAAACATGAGATTTCTTACTTCACTCCTAAGACATTAAAGGAGCTCTTTAGTCCTTTTTGGTTATAAAGTTATAAAAAATCTGATCAAACAATTAATACTGTGGAAAGTTAAAAATGTCAAATTACATTAAATAATTTATTAAATCTCATTCATTCATAAAAACTAGAAATAAGCACAAAATTTCTTAAATGTAAAATTATATGTGCCTCAATAAAGTGTGTTAATCTAATCTAAAAAAACCAAGATATTTGTTGCTTTAAGTTATTTTGTACTTCTGTGCTGAAGCATATCAAGAATTAAATTAAATGATCGACTTCACGCATCAGACTCAGTAGACAGGATTTAGTGTGGTTTCTATTGCGATCCCAATGTTTGATTGGCTGCTTCAAATAGCAAGTCAAGAGAACTTCTTCTGCTTTCGCTATGACTATGAGGTCCATATTTCCCCTGGAAAGAGTGGAAATGACTTCAGTAAGTTGTAATTTATTAATGCAACCTCTGGGCAAACAACTCCAGCCCCTTTTTTATTTTGGTGTGAAATAGCTCAAGAGGGCGTGTGAGCTGGTGTTAGCCAGTGGGCGTGACCTTCCTGTCTGTCATCTATAGCATCTGTTGGTAGGATCACAGTGCGCTCTTTCCTGTGACAGAGAACATTTTAACCGCTGAGTCCTAGCAAACGTGACTTCCTGTTTGAAGCAGCCAATCAGACGTCAGGGTCTCTACAGAAGCTGGCCTAGTCCCTTCCACAGAGTTGACTGGATTAGGCTTAATCAGTTGAGATAAAACAACTGATTAGGAGGTTTGATATGAAATGTTTAAAGTCTTTATAATGGTTCTTTTTTTTGAGTGTAATGGTTGAAGTTGATTCATTCATGGTGTGCTTCAGCGGAGGAATATGAAGTCATTTATTAAAGCAATAAATAGATAAAGCAAGTTTTTCAAATGAAATCAATTTAATTGGGGCACATAAAATTCCGTATCTAATTATGCCTATTTATTTTTCCAGTTTTAAAATATTGATGCATTCACATATTTCATAAGCTAATTTTTGTATTTTGACACTTTTCACTCCATAAAATGCATATAAAACATTTCTTAAATTTTAATGGGATAATCTGACAAAACTGAAAAGTGTAGTGAGGAAATTCAAGAACTCAAATCTTTGTATCTTATTTGTTTTAAAGATTGACTATTAGCAATGAAAATGTCTGCTAAAGAAGCAGATCATTAATTACATTTGATCATTAATCACTGTGAATTGTGAATTTGTCATCCATGCAGCATGTTATCAATAATGAACCAACTCACTTGAGTTCATGTTGTTCCGCAGCCTTCTCACTGTGTTGGTGCTGCCGTCAGGCCCTCAGTACGAGGTGACGCTGAAAGGAGAAGTAGTCCCTTCTGACTCCGGGAACCCGGTGGCTCTGTCTGCTCCTGTCTGTGGTCCCGCGCTGACCAGCGACATCCCACCAATCCTCTCCAATAAGCAGTTTGTGGCCTGGGGAGGGGTCACCCTGGGACGAGCTGTGTAGGCAACCTTTGAGTTTTTCATTAGTTTGAGTACTGCTTGATTACAGACCCATCACTTTCTGAGGTATCAGTTATTCATTGGAAAGGAGTCAAATAAAAAAAAAAACATGGATGGATGGATGCTCCGCCTTATTCTATTAAGACTTGTGTAATGTTATTCATGAGAGGGGACACTGTGGGGGTTTACAGGGACAGCTGTTCGCCAGAAGCTATTTCAATGTGATGCACAGTTTATTTGTGCTCTGTGAGGAGAGATAAAATGGAAAGGAGAACTCTGCGTATTAAAATCAATCCGATTAATTAATAGTAATTGAACTATTGCACAACAATAATAATTGGGATAAAACAAAGCAGAGGAGGTTTGATATGAAATGTTTAAACTCTTTGTAATGGTTATTCTTTTTAGCCAACAGAAGCTGGTTCTAAGAAACGACTCATGCAGCACCACACAGCAGCTGCGTTTGCTTATCCGTGGTCAGGACCAAGACTGTTTTCAGGTACAGCACTTGAAATGGTGAAGAAGACATGTTTTTTCCATCGTTTCTGTTGATTGTTGAGCTTTCCAGCACTATGTGCAAGCTCTAAACTGAGACTTCATGCTGTCACAGTCTTAGTCGTCACAGATGTGTCTCAGTAAATAACTGTAGTTTAGTTCAGTGATTTAATCTCTTACCCCTGAAATGAATACCCAGTTGTACAAAAAGTATTGTGCTTTTATTGTCAGTCAGATAATTGAACATTTCACCCACCATTAATGTAAATTTAGGCATGATGCCAATTAGATCCACCAAGCACTTGAGGAATAAAACAATAAAAGACTGTATGTTGCTCAAATCTTTGAAATTGAGTCAACATATGTTTTTGAACAACCATGGCTTTGCCAGATAGTGTGAAAAATTTCAATATACATTGGTGTTCATAATACAGTGTTTCCAATGCAGCTAAATATATAAAAAAAATGTACTGTACTGTCTTATAAGCTTTTATTCCCCTGTTTCATGATAAATATTAGTGTATGTACTTGTGAAAATAATAAAAAGCTTAAAAAAGTAAACTTTTGATTTTAAGGTTCATGTTCAAAATACTTGCACAAAATGTACTTCGAGAATTATGTGAATTTCATATATTGCTTCTTAATGTTAGCATTAGTCATTTGCATTCCTTAGTTGCCTGGAGTTTCTTCCAAAAATTAGAAATAACTTTTAGAATTTCAGTTTCATGTTTTCTATTCTGATCAGTTGTAGAAGGCAGTCAGCCGAAACATGTTTTATTGCACAACCTAACTCGGGGTTAAGATTATTTACTAAGTTTATCAGCAAAATTTGATGTGGTCTACCCATTGCACACTTCCTCTCCCATGAACCCTAGATGGTGCACACTTTGACCACTATCAACCAACATTTGTAGCATTCATACATTAGCTTGGCAAAATTCTCAGTAAAACGTGATCTGAAGCTAATTAGCTTCTCCATTCTATAAGGAGTTAAAAATCCTGGCTTCCAACAAATGAAAACCCAAAATTGAGTATTTGAAAGTAAGAATATTGCTCGTAATATGTGCTAAAAGTTGTTTCAGTAAATTAACAATGACTTCCTTTTTTCCAGCTCCAGAGCTTGTTCAGCCCTGAGGAGTGTCTAACCCACCATGGAGAGCTGTCCATTCGGCCCAGGGAGGATGTATCCGTCCACCTGCTCTTTGCTCCCACCAGGGTGGCATGCATGTTGGCCAAGCTGGAAATAAAACAGTCTGGAGTCCGCTCATCACAACCAGGAGTCAAATTCATTGTAAGAATGCAACCTTTGCCATACTCTCTACCTTCCGTTTCAAAAGTTATTAACCACACAACTCTACTTTTTCATGCTGTGTTTTTTCCCCATAATGTATTCTCTTTGCAGGACTTGAGTTTTTTGCATTCTGGGTAGTCTGTTCACACAGGACAGTAAATGTATTTATGTAGTGTACATCTTCAGTCATCCCTTATGAGATCTGAGCCGGATTGGTAAAAGAATAAGTCACTCACTTTCTTTGTTCTCTCTGTCCAACCTCAGTCAACTTTCTTGGCTATTTAAAGATGGCATTTGAATTAGTGTGAATCATCTTGCACTTCTCTTCTGTATCATCTTTTTATATTAATGAAGAGCTCTTAATGCGTTTCCTCTGCGAGGTAATATGCTTGTTTGATCTCACTGACTGACTTCATTGCAATGTTGGTCAAGTCGACATCGTTTTTCCTGAGTTCATGAGAAACGAGAATTAGAAACATGTGACTTTGCTTCACATGTTTAAAAGAAATATGTAAAGGGATAACTGTCTGGATTGGTTTGGTGTCTTATAGCTCTGCTCACAGCTGCCTGCTTGCAAGTGCATCTCTGCTCATTTGAACAGCACCACCTTTCTTTGTTGTTGTGCCATTCTTAGATTCCACTGTCGGGCTACGGCGGCACCAGCAATATCATCCTGGAGGACCAGAGGAAGCACGGCGATGGCTACGTGGCGACGCTGCCCGATGTTGCTGTCGGGTGTGTCAGCAAAGTGTGTCTATGTGTGAGAAACACCGGCTCCAGAGCTGCCTTTGTTAAAGCCGTGGCCTTCTCTGACATCCAGAGCCGGTTGCTTATGCACTCTTCCGTCATGAGCCTGGCCCCGTCACAGTTTGTCCTGAAGGAACGGACGCAAGAGGTGATATGCTGCTATTTGAACTTTTTTTTTTTTTTCCCAATTCATTTATTTATTTTTTTTATCCTGGAGATGGTAACATCAGCAGGAGACAAAGACAATACTTGTAATTATAACAGCATCTTCTCTTGACCTTGTCACTCATCCCTGTGTATCCAGGTGATCACTGTTCTAATGAAGTCCACCCACAGAGAGACGGGTCTGTGTGAGTCAGCCAGTAGTCCCTTGGCCACAGTCTGCCTCTTTTGTGGAGATGAGGTCTCCAGGCAGCAGTACAGGAGGTGAGACACTGCAGCGTTTAGTCTCGACTGCTGCTTAATGGAACTGTGTAGAACTCCTAATGAAATGTTTTATCTGTAAGTGCTACCAGGCCTTTGAATTAGTTGCAAGCCACTGATAATTAAATCTAAATTGCCCCCCAAGAACAATAATGCAGAGAGGCTGATGACAAGCTTTTCTTGTCTGTTTTAATTGAAGCGTGCTCTGAAAAATGAACTTCATACTTGAAGCAAACTCCTTGTATGTTGTGTGACAGGTTGCTGGAGAGCAAGCCAGAGGCTGGGAGGAAGGCTCTGTCTGAGAACAGTCTGCTCAAGAACATAGACTTCACCGAAACGTTCCTGGGGGAAGAAAGTGTTACAGAAGGTAATTTGCTTTTTTCACATGGATGTTCGTTGCATTTTATCATTATGATTTGTTTTAATTATCCAACAATAGAGGGCACTTTATTGTAAATTACACATTCAGCTGCAGTATGTAACTTATGCAAAAAAACTTGTTTTATAAATTTGTTAAAATTATAATTATGTCATGTCACAAGGCAAACTGCCTTCTCCCAGTGCTAACTACAGAAATGCACTGCTTAGTCAGGAACAACCAGTCAGAGCCATGAGGACGGTGTTGGCACTGTCAATCACTCTTGTGCTCGACCATCTCACTTGCTCTTTGCTATGCTACTGTTGATTCACCACAACAGAGCCTACTATGAATGCGAATGTTGGTTTACATTGCCACCGTTGATGGCGGATAAATGGTTGTCCTGAATCTGTAAGTTGTTTCTCCACCATAAGCACATTTAGCAGCATGTAAACGAGGTTGCCCGACATCAGTAACTGCCCTCCCCTCTGTTGTTTCTGATCAGGAGCGGTGCATTTTAGGAGACCACAATTGTAGCTCTGGGAGGATGTTGTTAAGTTTGACCTTTTTTTTGTTTTTTTTCTGGTTTGTTTGTCCTTTTCATCTGGAGACTTGCTTCACCCATCCTTTGACTTGTCCACAGCCTACGACCTGCCCCTGAGGCCTAACGAGGCCCACATCTTCAACAGCAACATGAGTAAAGTGTTGGTGTCATTGCTGGGGAGAATAAAGAGTGCAGACAGTGAGGAGAGCGAACACGACAAACCTCAGCTGCCCTCTGACAGCCACTGCTTCCAGGCAGACAGGTATTGTACCAGTAGTTATAATAAAAATAATATCAGTAACCTGCTGGTGATGCACATCTGACAGTTGCATCTTATAAATTGACTTTGTTTTTTGTTTCTTTCAAAAAGGGAACAATGCATATAAAACATATTTACATCACATAAACATGCACGGCTAATTTTCCCATCTCATTCCCCTTAATTTCTAAACAGTGATAAGAGTGAATGTTTTAATAAAACCTTTTTTTTTTTCTTCACAGTGGTGTTCCTAATGGCAGTGTGTCCCTGGATGTGCTGCCAGTGAAAGGTCCTCAGGGTCCATCGCTGAAAGTCACGGGATCCCCTTCAAAGGTGCCAGAAGTTGTTCAATCACCCGAAGAACACAAACTCTTTGCTTTTACTGTTTTTTTTTTGTTTGTTTGTTTTCTCTTTTTAACCAAACTGATTTAGAGTTTAGCTGCACAATACAGTGAATCTGAAGCATCATTGTATAACAATGATTGGATTCAATGTTTGTGAGCAGTGCACAAAATTAATTGGCCTCAATTTCTTTATTCGGGGCTAATTGGCAAACACAAGTGAAACCGATCTTATCCACCAGTCCTATTCACAATAATCACCCCACTGTAGCTGACATAGCAACTTTGTTGCTGATTTTTTTTTCTGACAAAAAATATTATCGGCAACAATCGGAATGGGTACCTTTTTGAAGATGGGTAATCTGCCAGAAAACTACAAATGTTGCACTCCTACTACTTTAATGTAATGTAATCTATTTACAAGATTAATATTAATATGGTCTAGTCAGTTGAATAGTCTGAATGGCCTTTAATGAACAAAGGTCACAATGTTATTTTTAGTGACCAAGATGCTAAATCTCACAGAGTGAAGTTTGTGAACACTGTGTGAAAAAGAAACAAAACGTAATGTGAGAAAGATGTGGATGAAGCAAAATCACCACTGCAATTGTCAGCTGTAGTATTGTGGTAATTAATACATTTTTTCTGCTATTGTGCAGACCTGATTTTGACGAGTGGTTGGTAATCTGGTTGTATTGGGTTAAGAACTGGATTTGTTCCTGATTTGCCAAAGAAAAGAGAGAACAGTGTCTAACAGAGCATTGTCAATTTTTCTATGCTATCGCTCAGACTTATGAGTCCTGATTTCCTCCTCTTTCTTCAGCTTCCTAAATTAAACATATTTAGAGTTGTCTTATTTTTTCTCATGGTAAAATTACCAATTGAATTAAATTGGTAATGAAACATCTTTTATGTTTCATTGTGTTAATGAAACATAAAAAATGTTTTATTACCACAATCTTATGAAGGAGTTTTAGGATGGTTAAAAAAACCAAACTCTATCAGACATAATCGACTTCAATGTATTTGGCTTTTAGTTGTACAGACTAATTTTAAACAAATATTCTTGGACTTAAATGTTTTCCTTTCTATAGTAGATATATCTTGAGGAAATGGTAACATTTGGATTTAACTGTATTAAAAGCGATCATTTTTTTAATGTTTTTGCCATGTCTTCCACTGCTGTCCCGTCAGGCTCAAGACTCACAGCACACACGGCCCGAGTCGTGGATCATCCACCCACAGCAGCTCGTCCTCGCAGCTCCCACCATCAGTGAGTCTTTGATGAATTGTGGACGTCTTCATTTCGTTTTGCATTTAGTTGGAGGAAGCAACAGTTGAATATTCATATTCACACTATTTCTAGATGGTCTGTCTAGTACCAGCCAAGTTCAGATCCAGAACAACACTTCTGAAGAGCTGAACTTTGACCTTTCGTGGCCGGCTCACTGCCTCACCATCACCCCACAGCATGGAGTCATTGAGCCTCAGTAAGTCTTTCTTTGAGTCTCGGTATCTGTGTATGATTTAACATGCCTGTTAAATGTTTGGACAGGTAGAGGCCTTCCACTATCTTAACTTTAATAATTGGAGTTTCACTAGATAAACATAATGAACTGATGATCTGGCTGGACAAGGGCTCATGTAACGACTTTCCTTCTTTTGCTTACAACTTTATAATCAAATTCATATTATTTAGCTTTTAGTATCTTAACTCAGAAGACATTATTCCCACTGTTGTTAAAATAATGAGATGTTTAGCTGTAAAACTGTTATTGCTACTGTCATTTTAAAATGGTTGTCTAATAAGAACGCTTTCCATTTTGACACCTTTGAGGAGGTCCAGTTGGGTTCAAATCCCATTCTGGGGTTTTCTCTTTCATGGACTGAGCATGTTCTCTCTGCATGTGTAGGTTCTGTCCAGCTTCCTCCTATCTTACTTTTAGTTTAATTGGTTATTCTAAATTGCCCTTTGTGAGTTTATGGTTGTTTTTTCTGTGTGGGGAATAGGCTCCAGCCCCTTGCAACACATCAAGGACAAGTGGGTTTTAGACCATAAATAGATGTTTTTCTAGAAAGCAGGGGAAAAGCACAGAAGTGTCTTGATTCAGGTACTCTACTCCATTACTTAGCAACAGGTAGGGAAGGGGCAGAGCAGTTCTTTACAGCCAGAGAAAATTCCCATTGTTCTTTTCCCCACTCTCTCTCTGACATCTAATTAAACTGACTTTTGAGTGTATAAACAGAATTCAATAATTGTAACAGTTTTGAAGCTGCACAGTAACTAGCCCTCTTATACATTTGAGTGCATTTACACTTTTCTTTTCCTTTTTATTATTTGTCTTCACTTTTCTTTTTTCCAAAACTCAGGAGCCAGCTGCAGATTTTGATCAGCCCAAACCCCTCACTAGCCACAAAATCTGCCCTGCTGCCGTGGAGTGGACAGATTTATGTCCAGTGTGATGGACAGCAGAAGGTATGGCCCTCTAGCTGTCAAACAATCCATTCAAATATCAGAAATTTCAAACAGATCCTCTTTATGTTTTTAGAGTTAATGATTGTCGTAGAACCGTCAGAAGGTGGCAGTATTGACCAGACTGATGTGGATGATATAGTCTTCAATAATTAGCTAACAAAACCCACCGACTGTTTCTGATAAATTAATTTAGTGCGTACAAACCCTCATATACCATAACAGAACACATTATATGGTAGAAAATGGTTACTTCCAGCTTAAAGGCACAGTTGTTCCTAACACTTTGAATGTTTTTAGTTCATTAAGGTCCAGATTCGCAGGGACCTGGCTCTGGATGTGTCTGCAGCTCCAGCAGATGCATCTCTGTCGGCCCTGCCTGCTCAGGCTGCTACTCCTGTGCTGCCTGCTCCCCGATTCAGCAATAAGCCGCCGCCGGCAGCTCCCGGCCTGGTGGAAATAAAAAACAAGACCATCACCTTCCCTGCCACGCTCTCAGGGGAAACTTCAGGTTATTTATCCCTCAGTACTTTGACTTGAAGACTTGTTTGATTAAAAAAAAAAAACTAGACATTTTCTGGAAATTCTTGTTGCATAAAGTACATTGAAATTACAAAATGCATAATTTAAAAAAACAACAACAAAAAAACAAAATCTTAAAACAATCTCTTGACTCTTACCAATGTGTTTGTTTCTGCTGGAGACTAAGACTTTGGTTTTTGCTGTTGTACTTCAGAGGCCCAGCTGGAGGTGCAGAATGGTGAAGTGGAAGTCAGGTGGTACCTGTCTTCATTTGCTCCTCCATATGTTAAGGTACTCTTCAGAATTCGACTTCCAGCTGTGTTTGTCTTTTGAATGACTTTGTTTATCATGGCAGCTGAAAAGCCAACAGCCTCTTTTCAAAATGATTAAGATCAGGACGGAAACACAACTGGGCGGGGTGGACCATAGGGATTTATTTTTATCACAATAAAATTTACAATAAGAACTATGCATTTCCCTTTTTTTAGGTAACGCTTTGGCTGTGATGGCATGGCAGCAATCACAGCGCCTCAAACACAAATACTGCTATTCAACACACCATTCACATAAAAATTATCACTAAACTGCACATAGTAACTGCATTTAATTATATTTTCAAGTTTATTGAAAATATTGGTATTTTCGAAAACAGTGGAAGAATTATAAAAATAACAGTTTTGGGGATTTTTAAACACCATTAGGTGGATTTCATCATGACAATAATAAACCAGAATTCTTAGAATAATAATATTAATATAAATCATACAATAAATGCCCACCACTATTGGAAACCTTTTTTTTTTCTCCTCTCCTCCCAAAGCATACAACTCTTGCTATAAATCTTTTGATTTGTTGAAACCCAGGTGTTTGTCCTGTTTCAAAATCTAAAATCTAATTTTTGCATTAAGCTGAAGTCGCAGTGAAAGCCTGTGCTGCCCTGAGCTTTTCCAGCTGCCCCAGGTCAAGAGCTGGCAGTTTATAGAAAAGAAACTACTAAGTAGCAATCTGCTCTAAGCCTGTCACTATAAGCAATAAATCAATTAATCACATGATAAATTTGAAGGAGCTCGATCATTTCCATTCTGATTGTGTTGTGAACAGCAATTTGATCTACAGATGTGTCATATTCCTTTACATTTCTGGTTTCAGTTGCATTTGGTTTTTATTCAGTTTTGTTTGCTTTTGGTTTTTTTAATTTTTTTTGGATATTTAAAATATCTTCCAGTATCAAGGCTTCTTTTCAGAATTAACGTTTGTTGGTCTCTGAAAGGGGAACTCTCATTATTATGCTGTTATTATATCATTTGAAAATTGTCTCAAAACAACAATTTGATCAATTATCACAATAACTCTTGCAATTTATCATCCTGTAAAATATCACCGCAGACCTCCATTTTCTTCCATTGAAAACATAAAGTATACTTTCTCCTTGTCGTAGGTGCTCTAATTGGTGCACTGTAAGTTATATTTGACCAGTTTTGTTCCGTTATACTTCATATTAACTGGAAATACTTTTTTTCCCCCCGTTTGCTCTGAAGGGAGTTGATGACAGTGAAGATGTTTACCGGGCCACCTACACGGCTTTCAGATGTTCCAGGGTCTCAGGAATCCTGGGGCCTCATGAGAAGATGCAGGTAGACACTCACTCCCAACCACACTGTACCATTTTCATAAGGTCGTTTCAGTTTAACACGTTTGCTAAAAAATTTCTTGCTATTCTTGCAGTTAATGGGAAAACTAGAATAGAAAACTAGAATTCTAAGAGAATTTTTTTTCCCTGTCCAGTTGAAAGAACTTTTCAGCTTCTTGACATTGGTGATTACTCTTAGGGTTGACCATCTGATATTTATTGGCTTGATATGCTGCCTGGTGCTATTAATCTAACACCTAGAAAACAATTCCTTTATGTGGTTGACGTCACAGATTCCGCCAGTGTTTTTCTGCTTCCAGGTGCCTGTTACATTCCTCCCCAGAGACAGAGGGACTTATGTCCAGTTCTGGGACATGGAGTGCCACCCCGTGTCTGAGCCCCAGCAGAAATCCAGAATCCGCTTTCAGCTGTCTGGCACTGTGAGGATAAATTTCTTGTTTTGGCCGCTATTAGAATAAATACAATAACACTTAAATACTGGTATTTATGTTTTGCCTCACACTCTTCTCCAATCAATCCGCCAGTCACACCATAAGTAGTTGGTGTTGCTCGCAGCTTTTCATTCATTGTTTTACTTTTTGTTGATGATCTGTTCTGTCTGGAATTACGCTAAAACTAGCCTGAATGACCAGAAGCACACATGAAGGGCAGAGCAGTCAAACAACTTCAAATAATGAGATGGTTTTTAAAAATTAATCTTATATCACCCAAATTTGGATTATTTCTAATGTAATATCAGTTTTACCTTTTAAATCCACCAAAAACCATCTGAAAAGTAGTGTGGTAATCGGTGTTGAAACGATTAATCAATTATCGCTGCAAATGATAATTGAAATAATTGATTCAGTTACTAATTTAACTTGCGTAATAATTAACTAGAGCATACAGACTAAAAATAGAACACAGTCAGATCAGTCATGAAATTAGCTGCATAGAAAAAAAATATGCATTTGGATTTAAAAAAAACTGAAGTGCCACAGTTAAAGTTTAAATTCTGTAAAAACTAAAGTCTTGTTTAGCACTTTTGAGAACAAATTCTCAATTGCTAACAATCAAGAGATTAGAAATTACTGAGCTTTTCACATGTTGGAAGTATTTCATTGCTAGATGCATCCTCTGATAGAGATGATCAATCGTTCACTAAAGGAATGCTGCTGTAGCATTTTTGGCAACAAAAATGCAACAGTTTTGTTTAGCATATTTTAATGTATTTTTTTTATATACAAAAATGCTTAAATTGGAATTAATTAATCAATCAGATCAAAACATTTCTGCAAAGTAGTCAGTAGAACAATACATTACTAACGCAATCATTAGTTGTAGCCCTAGTAGTAATTATTCACTCCTTTTTCCTTTGGTCCAAAGTTGGAAGTTATGCAGTTTTGTTTTTGTTGTTTTTTTTTTATCCTAAGTTTCACATAATCTCAGAATGTCCATCTACTTTGGTAGCCTCTAGAATGCAACATTTCTTGGCTGCAAACAAATCCACACAGGTCTGAGACAAAGTTATGAAGGCATTGAGAAACAATCAAAACGAATCCATCAGAAAATACAAAGATTCAGCCATCACAGTCATCTTCCAAACCAGGGAAAGGGAGCATTAATGAGAAAAGCAACCAGGAAGCCAAAGTTGATTGTGATCGTTCTGGGCAGCTGCTCTACAACAATAAAAGCATCTGTTCACTGAAGCAAAAGCTTGCATCGCCTAGAGCCTGGCTATGGACAGTAATCCAGAAAAATGCCAAAGAAAAAAAGGTTTTTCTTTTTTTTTTTTACCTAATTTAAAAATTGGAGATTCACCAGTATATGAAAAATGGGACTGGGGTCAGATGAAACAAATATGCAACTTTTGGGCAATTCTGGACAACACTCTTATCTGGCACAACCTGACACATATTATGATGCTTTGAAAGAACCATTTTTTATTTAAGTACGGCATCATGTGGGACATTTGTCATCAGTCGTGACTGAAAACTAGTCAAATTCAAACAAATAATTTTGACTCTTGCGTATAAAAGATCTGTGGTGTAAATAAGCTGATGCGTATTTACACAGCAATACTGTGTTTTGAAGGGGGTAAAATCCGGGCCAATGGTGGAACCTCAGGAAGGAAACTGTTTCCTGGTGAGGACTGAAGCCACCGTGAAGAGCAGCAAGAGATCTGATTCGTCAGCAAGCAAAGCTGGGTGAGTTCTGCTACTTTTCCTAGCCAAGATGGCGACATTAAAGTGAAATTCTTGCAACTAAATGACTAGAGCTGTAGATTAGACATATAAAATTGTATTTTAAAGGAATAACTTGAATATTTCAAATCTAATTGGAGTGTAACTTTAACTGCTTTTGTTAATTTCAGCCAGGAGGAGGCAGTGCGGCGTGGTGTTTATTCCCCTCAGGATCTGTACACCTTCCCGCACACTCGGCTGGGGGAGTCCAGCACCCTGAAGGTCAACATCCGGAACAACTCCTCCGACAGGCATGAGGTGAACGCCTGCAGATTCTCCCAAAACCTCTTTAAAATTCAAAGTTCTCCTGGCAACAGCTTGACAGCAGTTAACTTAAGCTAGCCAAAGAGAAGTTAAAACAAGACAGAATGTATTCATTTAAAACAAGCTGTGGTTTTTGCTTTAGGCAAGACTGTGAAATCAGGCTCAGACTGTTAGTGTATGCTGACAAGGATCCCAGCTTACTGTGTGTTTTTATATTTCACAGTGGATTGACAAGGAACTTGCATGACTAACTCATATATTGGTTTATGCATTTTTGTCTGTGCTCTGCATGGATTTGACGTGTGGCTTTTCTAATTAACTTGCAGCTGAGATTTATAAAACCTAAGGAGCCCTTCTACATGAAGCATTTTGAGTATTCGCTAAGGTGAGTTGCTTGGCCACATCTCTACTCTGCTGCTAGATTTGTAGTTTTTGCTACGTTCACACAGCAGCCGAATGCAAGCAGATTATTTAATTTTTTTGCTTATGTGTGACCCATGTCTGTCTTTTTGGTGGCAGTCTGAATGACCCAATTTTGATCTTTTCATCCCCTCCCAAAAATCAGTTTTGAACCAGTTTCATATGTGGCTCTAAATATGATTCGTTCTGATAGTTTTCAAAGCATTTGCAGACTGAACAGTCATGTCATACTTATTTGACTTTTACATCAGTTACATGAGACATGCATCATAATTCTGCACTAGAAGAAGACCAAATAAAAACAATGACTGAAAATTCCTGATTACAAAATTCTAAAAGAAGTCTTTGTTGGTGAAACACATCACAATCTCACCTTGGCTTTGTCTTCACATCCAACCAAACTTGTCTATAGAATTTGCAATTAATGCTCCACAAAGGCCACTAATTTATCTTCCTCCATCACATTCTTTTTACAATAATATTGTCGTCTTCCATTGCTGAATAACTTTAAAATCCAGACGGCAGCGTCCATTATTAATTCTGTAAACAGTGCTCTGATGTGTTGACATCTGCACTCTTCTTCCATACATGAAGGTTGCTTTGGGCATCATAAACCATTCACACCGAAGTCTGATTGTGGTCGCGTTTAATTACGATTGACCACGCAAAACCCCCCCCCAGGATTTCAGCAAAAAAATTGGAATTGAGAGTTGAGACCTGCCATGTGAACATAGCCTTTCACTTGGAACAGAGGGTTCAGTCAACTCTTAATTATCTGATTTCTTTCCACTTTTTTTCTCTCTGCCTGGCTAATTGTATTTTCATACTTGACTTAATTCAAGGACATAGCTGGTGATGCTTGGCTATAACGTGTTTATACAAACTTTATGACAATTTTATGATTGTGAACGCCGTCCATGGAGGTTCTCTGAAATGCTGGTACCTGGAAGGTAATGTTCCTATGTGGGATAAACTTGAGGCCTTAAAGATAATAGCTGTTTTACCTAACCAGCACTTATCAGAGGGGGGTCCCCACTCAAAGGTACCATCTGTGTTGTGATCAAAAAAGAAAGCACGCCTACTCTGAGAACAGTCCTTCATTTGTTTTAATGAAGTATATGTTACGATCTGTAGGGCATGAAGAGCAAACCTCCTGGGACTGGTTTGTTCTTTTGCCAAAAATAAAGCATTGTCATACATTCCTCCATTATGTGCAAACATCATGTGTTGTATGACCTGAACGTCCCCCAGCTGCTATCTGTGTGACGTCAGCTTTGCAGTTTGCTGTGACTCTCATCAGGATCTCTGCAGGTCATGAAAAGCCTCACAAGTTTCAGTTCATGTTTCTGCATGTCAGATTTCCTTTTGAACTAAATAATATTGGTTCTGAAGTTGTTGTTGGATCTAACAAAGGTTAGATGCAGAAACCCTGCAGAAATCAGCTCTTCTACATGTAGCATTTTACAGAAGTATGTAAACTTTTGAGCCTTTGTCACTTTACAGCTACAGAAGTTGGTGGATTCTATTGCAAACACAAAATGGAGCATGAAGTGAAAGGCAAAAGAAAACCAAAAATGAAAAATTTTGAAAACCAAAAATGGCTTTCGAAATTTTCAACAATGATAATTTGTAGACTTTTAATAAATTTGTTTTGTTGAGACATTGCATGTTTGGACAGTTACTCCCCATGGTTTTAGATGCTGCCTAGCTGAAGAATACTTTTTTTTCCCCTTCACTTTTGAGCAGTTGCTATGATGCATGACCCTGGCAACAGAACATCATTTTTTCAGCTGGGAGTAGTTGATTAGCATCTCAGGCATGAATAGGCAATTAAACATTTACTTGACTTTTGGGATAAATTAAGTATTTTTGAACTGAATTTGTGCTGATTTTTCTTTTGTGGAGTTAGATTTAAGAGCGCAGATAATAGCCAATGGATGTCATCCACTTCATAAATGGAGTCCACCTGTATAATTTGATTTTGACAAAAGTAAACGGCTGATAACTTCTGTTTAACAGAAGTTGCTTTTATGTGCTACTTTATGGAAAGCAATCACATAAACTGTAGGTTTTGGGGTGTAATGTGACTAGATGTGAAAAGTTCAAGGTTTATACATGCTTTTGCAAGGCACTGTTCCCACATTGACATTGAAACTGTTTTCATTTATTTCCATCTGATGTGCATAAGAATTAAAGTAAAACATTTTTTTATATAGTTTGAATGTATGACAAGCATGTGCTTTTTGAGTGCATTTCTTCATTCTTGACAAAAGATTTGTCTAATGCCTCCTGTTTTCTTTCATCCATTAGATCACAGCATTACGTGAAGCTACCGGTCCAGTTCAAGCCCACGACAGCCGGCAAACACACCGGCTTGCTGCTCATCCAATCAGAATCAAGTGGAAGTTTGGCTGTCCAGCTGAGTGGTGAAGCATTTCTTTGAGTTCTTGCTCAAGAGCGACACAAAGACTAAAACACCAGCGGCATGCCGCAAAGGTCACCAGGCCGGTCCTGCATATGAATTAAAGCAAAGCATGCAGTGGATTCCTCTTTGTAGAATTATTTCTCTAGCTGTAGACTGTTACTTATTGAATGGAGAAACCAACAGGGCCCTTTGTGTCTCTGAAGAGGGCTCAGCTGTCCTCGGCTCACCCATGAAAAAATGGTCTGATGCAGAATGATTGAATGTATCCAGCTTACAATTAGTCTGCACCACTGTGGCGTTTGAAACAGGGACAGTTTTGTCACTTGACTCTCGGCTGGGTGTTTGCCTTCTCTCCTTCAGTTCCATCACAAGGCAGCATTGTTGTTTCCACAGCCTCCGTCAGACAGTAGCAGTACCAGTTAAGATCCATTTGGCATTACTTGCGCTTGATCACACAGGAAGGCCTCTGTCTGCTGTTTGAGAAGATGGCTGAAGCAATTCTGCTTTTGGAAAAGTAGAATTGTTGACCTTTTTTGCCCGAAATCTGAACCATAAACAGAAGTCATTTCTGCCGTTGTGGTAATGCAAGTTTTGGAGATGCTATATCTTATTTTGAGATGTTTTACTTTTAAACATCTGCTCTAGGTCTTTATGCATTTCAGGTCTCTATGGAGACGAGTCTTCATCCACTTAAAGCCCTCCTGAACAATGGTTATCTGGACCATGTGCTGGCACCCCTGCAACCTGTAAGATTCCAAAACTGTCCAGATGCTTCTAATTCAGTCTTGATGAAGGCAGCTCACAGCAACATTAGGATGGTTCATGATTTTGATTACATGCTAAATCAGTTTCCTTAGGGGTTTTGTTCAGCAACTTGCCAGGTCTGCCTAGTATGGTTGCCATGGCAAAATGTGATTAATCACCGTTCCAGGCACAGAGGATTTGATCCCAGTTTCCTTTCTTGGCTCCAAGGCAAGTCGCCAAAATTGCTTGAGGGGTGGGGAGCATTGGATCCATTTCCGTAATGAGCTGTGGAGCGGGATAGGCATGGGCAAAGGTGTGCAAACTCTATTAAGCATGTGTTGTTAACTTGTTAGATGAAACACTTTGGCAGCAGAACACTAATGTCTGGCATTGTTTACCTGCACATACTGCAAGTTTTATAACGAGGGCACTGTAGTGCAGTGGTATCTAAGCAACATTCTGAAATCCTGGTGACAATTTGCACTAACTTTATGTAATATTATGTATGTAGACATTTTTTAAAATAAAGTTCTGTGATAAATACATTTTTTAAAGGTTTTATTGACTCTGGTGGCCTTTATTTGATAGTGATTTGACTGGAAAGTGGGTAATGAGAGAAGGGGGAAGATGTGTGGCAAAGGTCACCCGGCCGGGAATCGAATCTGCGACAGCCGCATAGAAGACCAAGGCCTCTGTAGGTGGGTTGTGCTTAACCGCTGATCCACCACAATACCCCCGATTAATACATGCCTGTGGCTGTTTCAACCATTATTCCTGAAAATAACTTCATCGACACAGTGCATCTGCAAAGTAATTATTTGTTCCAACTAAAGCCAAAAAAGGATTATTCAAGAAAACCTGCTCCTGATTGGTCTGAACCTCGGACTATGAGAGTGATTCACCTTCCAGAAAAACAACTTGTGTTTGAGTATTTATTTAAATACAATTGAGCCCTGGAAAGACTTAAAAATGACTCTGAAGTTCTATCGCCCATTCATTCTCTCAGCTTGCTTGTGAGAATCTGCAGAGAGGAATAACAAAATGATAGAAAATACCCAGAATGGATGTCCTGCGTTTGTAGAGATGTTCCTAAGAAGACTTGAAGCTGTATCTGCCAATGTTGCCTCAACAGTATTCAAAGGCTGTAAATATGTGTGAACCTGTGTATATTTTGTGAATAAACTGGCAAATCAATTAAATTAACTTCAGTTTGTTATGAGGTACTATGTGTTAAATCTTGGAGAACATGAATGTAGCCCATGGAAAAATGAAATCACTATATTCAAGAGGATATGCATTTCTTACAAAAAACTTTTATTTATCCAATCTCTATCAATCTGATCCATTGAGAACTGAATATTAGTTACAGGTTAACTTTTCCAGGTCAAGAGTTGTTTTCCACTTGAAAATGATATTTGACTTATAAAAATAAGCTTAAGTTGGCTCATTTGAACTTGACAAAATAAATCAAGAACCCATTAAATTCTCGAGCAAATCTTTGGCTTAAAAAGCAGACTGAAAACTCAAATCAATCCAGACTTTTCTCAAATGCCCTCTTGCTGGGAGGCTGCAGCCTCTCAACGAGGTCATTGGTTTGGTTGTACTGCTGTTTGTTGAAGTAACCGGCAGGTGTCGCCAAAGCGTTATTTTTAATGCCCCGACTGTTGGCAGCGCGTGCTGTACAGTAGGACAGCTGAGCTTTATTTTGCCTCCCAGCCGTGACACCACTGTAGTGCAGTTGGACCTGACGTCTAACATCCACACCATCACGCACTCCAACCAACCTGTCACGGCGGCTGTGCACGTGAGTGGCGGCACGAGCAGGTAAGAAGCCGGCGACATTTTTGAAAGTCATTTCTGTATTTTATATGCATTTATATTAAAAGACAAACTGCTGCCGTAGGCGGATGGGGGAATGTTCTGGCCAAGCTAACTGGTCCTGCTAAATGATTGTTGGGCTGTCCGGTGGTTGGCTCTGCTCTGCACTTTTGGCCAGACGCTGGAAGTTGTGCAGAGTGGGAGCCACTGTCTGAGCTGCGCCAGACTGAAGAGCTAAGCTAACGAGGCTAACTCAGCAGACATGAAAAAGACACATCCATCCATCCATCCATCCATCATTCCCTCCCTCTAAAGGGAACCAGAGCACTTCTGCCGGGTAACCCTGTCTCTCCCTTTGACCGAGATGTCTCCTTTTGCTGTGTTAAACATAGAAATAGGTCTGTTTCATCTCTTTTCTTCTGTGCCAGGAGCTGTCATGTTCAATATATTTTAAAGAACAAGCCAGCTGGGAGGTGTATAAGTTAAATACTTAAAAAACAATTTGTGCCCGAGGTGTTTTCTTTTTTCCTCCCCGCAACTTTTGCAAATGCAAATGAGGCGCTGGTACACTTGATGTTCTACTGTTGTGGTTTCATGCAGGCAAAGCTGGTAAAAGATGTCAACACTAGAGGAGTCAGCAAAGTATTTGCCCCATGATGGATTTCCACAGTTTTTGCTGTTTCCTCTCACTTCAATGTTTCCCATCATAAAATTGTTGTTAATATTTGACAGAAATAAACTTAGCAAAAACTAAATTGCAGTTGTAGCTTCTTATTATTAGCGATAAATACTATCCAGCCTGTTGAGATACTTTCTGGTGATTATTAGTCTGCAGAAACATCTCTCCACCACCACCATGTTTCCAAAAGGTTTCACTTTTGTCCTGTCAGCCCAAAGAATTGTTTTCCCAGGATCTTTTGGGATCATCTCAGATGGTTTCTTTCTTCTTTTTTTCATTGCAAATTTCAGCTGAACCTTTATGCTCTGCTTCTGTTGTGACCTCCAAGGTGAGTTGTAGATGCTCCCTTGGAGCAACTTTGACCAGTGGTCACTAAAGGGAATGTTCACCACTGATCCATGTTTTTCTCTCTGTGGATAATGATGCTTACTGAGGTTTGGTGGAGACCCGATTCCTTAGAATCTACACAACTCTTTTCAAACTGATGGAGATCAATAGAGTGTTTGTCACCCCATGTTATTGAATTGTTCTAGATCGAGGTGTGATGTATTGCTTTCTGAGATAATGCTTCACACTACTTCATGCAGTCAGACAGATTCTCTTTAAGCATTTTTGTAATTGCAACAGTCTGGCAATAATCAGACCTGGTTTGTGAAACTGAACAAAAATAACTGTTAAACAAATGATTTTATGATTAGATAATTGCTTTTTCACCTAAGCCAGTCTGGTTTGAATACATTATTATTATTATTTTTTTACATAATCAGCATCTGATACTAAAAAAAAAAATCATCTGAAACATTTAAGTGTAGCAAAAATCTATAACAGAATAAATCTTTGAGGGGGCACATATTTTTTCACATCACAGTACAATGCTTTATATGTTGGACTGTCTTAAAAGTAACAGTATTATTGGTTCACACTGACATTGTGGTAGTTGTAGGAATCCCATTCACCCTATTTGGCATTATGTGCATTGCATTTGAAATGTAATGTACATTAGAGGGGTGAATGCCGCAAGTCAATGACTCAATGCAATTGCCTAGGTTGCCTAAGACAGAATTTCTTTTTGCTATTTTAAATCATAAACTGTGTTACTGTTTGATAACTAGGATCAAAAGGAATGTGTCATTGACTTTGAACCTGTCTGGTTGATTTGAATTGAATGTGCTGTGATTTGAGCGCTATAGAAAAAGACTGAATGGACTGAATTCAATTTCGCAAGATGTCAGTGATTATTTTAGCAAGTACATCAAACTTCACCTTTCTAGTGCAGATTCTTGCTCAGAACTTTTACAATCCATCCCGGAGGGCTTGATGATATCACCTTCTGGGTCAAATTCTGAGTACTGGTAACCCATTCCTGAAAGGACAATACATACATGTTGCCACTGTTGAACATATCTGGGTGCACCATGGGTAGGTTCCCAGTCAAAGGGGAAAACTAATACTGAAGCAAAACCTAGTGGCCATTTAACTTTCACTTGTGTTTTTGGATGAAGGAAGGAAGCCAGGATACCCCAAGAGAACCCTAACCCAACTCTGAACTCCATGCAGAAAGATTCCCGCTCTGATTTGAACAAACAATTACTGTGCTGCTGTGCAACCCATCCTTGAAAGACTCAGGATAAAATATCTCCACTGTACAAACAGTTACTTTCAGCCTAAAGAAAACCATGGTTTTCTCTCTCATGAGTGAATTATTTTTGACCATGTTGAGAGTGTAGCTGTTCGTATTTGCTCTGGTCCTCCAGGTAAAGTTCTTTAAATCTCCTTCGGCTTGATAAGAGGCTTCTGTAAAGTCTGATGTGTAATTTCTCATTGTAGGTCTGAGAGGCTTATTAATTCACTATGCTAGAATCAAGTGGAGATCTCCACAGTGAATATGCACATCCAGACATCTTACTGGAAGAGATGACCGTGAGTTTCTTGAATGAGGGGAGTCATTAAGTGTGACACCATGTAATTGACAAGCTTTTTCTTTCTTTGTTTACTGTCATTTATGAAACTAACAGCAGGCTCTGCAGTCTTTCCTCCTTTTAAATTAATAATGCCTTTTCTTAGACACCATATACTGTATATAGTTGAGAAAAGTCTGTTTGCTTAACTCCTTCTCTTCTTTGTTTCCATCACTTGAGATACAAATTTACTGTAGCCAACAATTATGAATATGAATATTCTACACAATGTTATTCCAATGACGTAATATTTATTTGTTGTGCAAATACAAACTGCACTGAAACTGTCCAAATCTGCTGTCTTTGATGTAGCTGCATGACAAAAAGTGCGTAATTTTGTTGCATTCTCCTCCCCTTCTCAACATCAGGCCAAACTGCTTCTCACAAAATTCTGCTGTGTGATTGGTCAGGAGTTTGTGGGCACATTTTTTGAGAAATGCTTTCAGACAGCTCTGTTATTTCACTTCAGCCTGTGCACTATTCCACCATATAGTTTTTGTATATGCAAACGTCATGAATCCTTTTGAGGAGCATTTATCAGACAGGGTGAGGAATTGCATACAGTTTCTCACAAAAATACCCGGCCTGATGAAAACCAGCACCCAGACGTCCTGGAGGCTTGGACAATGTTCAAGTTGGCGATTGCTAATGCTTGTGCATGATGTATGTATGTAATGCGAAAGCTACACTAGGAAGCATACTGAAACCTGTTTGCGCTGTAAACAAAACGATGAGGAGTAGGGCAATGACATCTTTGCTATTCCTCTTGATCTAACTTTAATTGCTCAATATGTGGAAGCGTGAACAACTCAGACTGAATGGCTTTGCTCACTTCTTCCAATGCCATTGGCAAACTACAACCCCATGAAGCCAGACTGCAATTCTAAAACAGAAATGCAGCTCAGTGGGAGACGCCCTGCACATTGAAGTGAAGGGAGATCAGAATTATGTAGGAATTCAATGGCCAGGCTACAAAATAGCTTGAGTTTGTCAAATGACTCTGGGATAGAAATTGCTAAGTTGATTTTTGTGTACATTGTGGCACTCTCTTCATGACCATGGTAAGCAAACCAAAGACTACAGGGACTGAGTGGGAGGGTGGTACCCAGGTGGACTGCGCTGTGAATGAAAGGTGTGTGTGTGCCAATACAAATCTCTGTCTAATCTGAACAAGGCTGAGCAACATTGCAAAGAAGAACAGGGATATAAATCTCAGTTTGTAAGGCAGGCTAAGCACAAACTTTGTTTTTATTTGTTGAGAAGAATGTAATTCCTTCCATTTCACAATTTTGAGCTACATTGTGTTGGGATATCAAATAAAATGCATTCAAGCTTGGGGCTTTTTATAAGACATCATTGAAGGCAATAGATGCTCTCTTAAGCTTAATACACAGCAAGTTAAGATATTCATGGATTGAGGGCTAGCAGTTAGCGTTTGGCCTGCAGCCTTATATGCTACTTTACAATAACACTTTGTTGTAGAGTTATGTTCACACGGCGATACAGGTTAGAGTCTTAGATGAATACAGCTTTCCCACATTAACAGAATTGTGCTGTATTTATGTTGGGAATTGTGTTTGGGATCTCCATAGGAACAGAAAAAAAACAAAACTGGGTCACACTTGTATGAAATGTCTGCAGGTCGTCACAATGGCTTGTGATTCCACAGGGATCCTATTAAAAAAGCCGCATATTAGCACCCCAGCAACGCTCTCTAATTATTTTCATCATATCTTTTTAAGAGGGGGATGTCAGCTGTTGGTAAAACAACCTCAGCACTTGCTCATTAATTCTCCAGCCTTTGGGTGTGTGCCGTTTTCTTAACCAGAACTATGGCGTGTTGTCATGAATCCCAGGATGTTCAAATATTTCCACTTGGAAGTTTTTTTTTTTCTCACGCGTGAAAGTCCAGAATGCAGGTATATTCTGCCTAAAGGACATCTGGGAAGTGAATGACTATTGCAGTCCCTTATATTTTAGCCATAGCATAAAATGACTAAAGCAAAGGTAATGGGGATGGGGGGATCAAACGGATTATTAACAAGGTAAGTTGCGGAGAAACTCAGCAGGCAGGCGGTGTGTATTCTTAGCTCTAGTAACGTCTGCCAGGTTGAGCCGCTCAAATCACACACACGGTGGAAAAAGTGCTTCCCAGAGCCAGACTTCTGTGTCTGTCTGCTTCTTTGTTCTTATTAGTGTGTTTGTGCGTGCGTACCTGACTGTCCTTGTGTGTGTGATTGTGTTTACCGCGTCTGTGTTCTTTTGCCCTTTGCCAATTAGCGGCTTCTCACCTCCTGAGGCAAGAGGCGGAGTGTGTGTTTGTTGGAGGAGGCAGACTTGATGGAGCTTGTCTGCAGCTGACAGATCAGCCTGAATCTGAACTCCACTCTCCCGCTTTTGCTTTCTCGCACGCACACACACACACAAGTCCATGTGACACGGCGAAATGTGACAGTATTGTGTTGGTGGAACGAAGGCGCTAGACGGGTAAAAACTAGTGCACTGTTGTGTGTGTGCATGTGTGTGTGTGTTGGATCCACAAATATACGGGCTCTTTTCCAACAAAGTGTTTGTAAAATTTTGGAACATGTGAAAAAGAAAACACAACATGTAGACAGAACAGACAGAAGAACTACTGCCTGGTCTGTTCAGATGTAGCACACTGTACACACAATATTTTGTCTTTATGTAATTAGTGTGTGTGTGCGTGTGTACACACACACTAATTGCTAGAAGATATATACAATAAATGTATATGTTTTCTGGAAGTTTCTCTCTTTGCTCTACTGTAGCTGGCTTTAATTCTCCGCATCACAACAGAACTGTTCTAGAACCAGCTTGAGACCGTTTCTAATTTGGCAACCCTTTAAGAAAATTTGTTTGAAATGTTGTATATCTTTCAAAAGCACTGCAGGCTGGATTTTCCCTTTGTTTCCAAAGACAGGAAAACAATTTTACATCTCTGCTCTCTCTTTTTTTTTTTTACTTTTAAATGTTTTAGGATATTTTCTTGGCCAGAGCTAATAATCTGGCTGAGTTCTGACTGAATACATCCAAGATACTGTGCTAGTCAAAGAAAAGATCAAACCGCTGAAGAAAACCTTCAGTTTTGACCCCAGTTGGAACATCATGATAAGTGCCAATTTGCCCAAACTGTATTTTTCAGCTCTAACCTGCAGACACCGCAGCATCGGGGAGTATTTTCGTCCCGTCAGAAAAGGAAGCTCAGTCAGAACGGGCTTCCAGATATTTATTTATTTATTGTGGTTCTCAGTCTCTTATGCTGCTGTTCTTCCCGTCTCTATTGGTTACCTAATGAGTTGTGGAAGCAGTAGGGGTGGAACGGCCCACAAAATCCATGGTTTGGTTCAGGTCATGGATTCAGGATCAGCTTTCAGTCAGGTGTACATTTTTACTTCCTGTTTAATAGGCTTATCGGGGTGCTGTGGAGGGGTTAAGCACCTCAGTCCTCGTCTCGACGTCGCAGGTTCGATTCCCAGCCTGGTGACCTTTGCTGCATGTTTTCCCCCTTCTCTCATTACTCACTTCCCTGTCAATTCACTATCGAATATAGGCCACTAGAGCCAATAAAACCTTAAAATAATTTTTTTTAAGAAATTTGGCTTGTCACCATAACAGACTTTGCTGGACGATGATTTGCCCCAGGAATAATTGCGAATGCAAATGATAATATTGTTGCTTTGCAACCACTTTCAGCTAATATGCTGATTACGACACAATAATGCAAGTTCACCTTCTCAAAACCTAAAACTTTAATTTTGCACAGAATACTCCACACTGGAACATACAGGCATTTAAAATATCTAAATAAAACACAACAACCAAAAACAGTAAGAAATTAAACAACAAAAGTCATAAATAAAAAGAATAATTAGTGTTCATAAACAAGATAGCTCTTTAAAAATATTAATAAACATAATAAAATGACCAAGCTCACTGGAGTCTTCTATGCAGTTAATTAATTGTTAATTGTGATTGGTTTGCTCTTCAGTCAACCAGTTATGAATCAATTCTTGTGAACATTTTTTTTCCAATTTGTCTTGGATCGTGTGTTAAAGAATATTGTGTAAAATTTGCCTTTTTCTCGCTTTACATCATGTTCTAATGTTATTTCCTCGTGAAAAACATACCTTGAGTGTTGTCTGGATTCATTCATGCATATTTGAGTAATATTTTAATCTCCCATGGCAACCATTAAGATGTGCAAAATGCCTTTGTGGACCTCGCTCCACCTTCGAGGACGACGTTCCTCCCCAGAGCTGCAGCTTCCAAGCTTCTCAGCTTCTGCCTCAGAGAGCGGCCCCCGCCTTCGACTCACCCACTCAGCTCCTCCAGACTAGCCAGCAGCTATTAGCAAACACCTGTTGGAACTGCGTATCTGCTGAGCTCGTTTTATGAGCTACTTCTCTGTGAAACGCTGGTAAGAATGTTGTTAAACGGTTAATAGTGGAGCCATGTTGTGATGACTTTCTGAAGTCGGCATACCAGAAAGAGCAGGAGTTTTTGAAGAAACAGAGGCCCAGTTTCAAGGTGTTAAATCACAAAGTCAAATTTCTTTCAAGCTGCATTCAATATATACAGCATATATAGTTAACTGAAGTTAACAGAATTTCTTGATGTTGCTGTAAAGTATAATAGTGCCCCTTTAAAATTTGACGGAATCTGTAATTGTGAGTCTTTTGTAAAGCCTCACAATTTCTTGTGAGTCTTTAGATTTTTTGTGCTGTGAATATGGAAACCGTCTTTTGAAAGACCATTAAAGCCATTAGCATTATGTTTCATTCTGTCACAAATCAAAAACAGAGTAATATCTTAATATAGTATTTAAATCCTGTTGTTTAATATACATAGACTGTTCAGTGTTCACTATTTCCAAGATATATTTATCATTCTCAACTTTCCTGTGATTCTTAGCAAAAAAAAAAGGAAAAAGCTTTCCAAATCTACAACCTGTAAACTGAACGCTTGTCACAAGAGGCTGCCCCCTGCAGTGCTCTGCTTGCAGTCCCATTTTGTGGATGTGTTGCACAGCAGCAGAGAGGCTGCACTGAGCCTGCCATCCTCTCTGTGATGGGAGGGAATTATTGAAAACGCTGATGGTTTGTTTGTGCACCAATCAGTGCGAGCTCATCTCACCAGCGCTACTGGGCCTGGAGCTGTTTGTCTGTGTGGGCCAACGTAGGATCCTCAGTGTGTTAAAATCTATATTTAAAAAAAAACACCATAGCGGTATGAAATCATTGTTGCATGAAACTGTATGGCAAAACTAAATTGTGTTTATTTAAACAATTATTTCCGTTATCACAATTTGGATTTGGATTTTCATGCATGAACTAAAGCAAAGATATAGAAACATTTAGTTGTAGTTTTCAAGTAAACTTAATTCTAAGGGAATATTTGGATTCTATCCAAACTCTCGTCTGTGGTATATTTTCCAACTTTTCTACACTCATTGAAAAAAATAGACTTTTCAACAACTTTCAAAAAAGAGCAACGGTTTTCAGATACTCACTACATCAACACCAAATCTTAAGTATTTTTGTCTTGTTTTGTAGTTTAGGATTTTTCGTTTTCGTCAATATTAAAGAAATATTGATTTAAAAAAAGCTTCTATACCTTGCTGAAAAGTTATTTGTACGTTTATTGCAGTGTGTTCCATTTCACAGCAGAAAACATTAATTCTTTGGACTTATAATTTATTGAACATTTTCTTTTGAATATCAGTAACTGTTAAATAGTTTTAAAAGTTATGATACTTAGTTTATCATAGCTGATACACCAAAACAAAAACAAAATGTGTTGAAATAAAAACTATTCAGTACAAACTCCAGTATGACAATAATAAAATAAAATGAAGTTCTTAGAATTTACATTTCAGTGTAGAATGATTAGGAATTATTAATAAGAGCTTTGTTACTTGCCAGGTTTTAGACATCAATACAATAATGTTTTGTAAGACGAACAGCAGTAAAATAAACGAAGTTGGCAGGATGAAGTCTGCACATTGGCACATCAGGTCCAGTATGAATCAGTAAACGTGGGTCCAGATTTACATCAATTCAGAGGAAAATATGGCGCCCAGACAATGAGTGTGACCTGAGAGAGAGCCGGAGCTGCTTCAAAACAAACACAGGAGTTGTGTTTCCAAACATAACTTGGAAAGTGAAGCTCAGACTGAGCCGGTCAATGATTAGAGCAAAATGGGACTTTTTCTATTCAGCACTACATAAAAAACTCGCTGAACATAAACTAGGTTATTATTTTTTTTAATGAAAAAGATTGGTTAATGAATAAATATGTGTTGAATAGATTGATCAGTGCGGATGCTTTTTATCACAGCAGCCCTGCGCGAGTGAAGTAAAGCCGTACAGAAACAGAACTAAGATGCATCATTTTTTGAGATGCAAATGTCCAGTGATGAGATTCTGGTTTTTAGGGTCACAAATCAATTCAGAAACTATTTCAAATTTTATTTTTAACGTTTCTATTCACATGGTTCTGTTTAACTATTTTGTTATGTGGCTGACATGGGGAAAAGGATCCCTTCTGTATCAAACTTCATCAGTTTATATTTGAAGAAAAATACATTTGAGCATAAAATTCCATAACATAAATTTCTAATATTAGCAACATAGAGTTTATTTGCGAATAGTGCCTTTAAAACATACAGTTTAAATATTGTATCGAGTCAGAATCCTCACAACTTTTTTTTCTGCATGTCTTCTAGTTTTCTACAAAATTAATAACATTAATATTTGAACTTAACAGTTTAATAAAGGAAAACTACATTTTGTATCCATGTTTAAAACGCTTCAGTTAAACTGTCCTGTCTTTTGTCCATTCGGATCCAACCTGGCATCCAGCGTTCTGCCGTTGCTCCTCCAGAACTGCAGTTCGCTCCAGAGACATCAGATTCTCTCAAAAGTTTTTGACTTTCCAGTGGACTAAACACACTTCACTCCAAGTTGCTTCAGTGACATATTTTCTCTCTCTCTCTCTCTGCATGCTGATTCTCAGCCATGACTCATCACTGTGCTGAGTCATGAAAACTCTGAGCCTGCTTCAGCTGACATTGGCCAAGAAATGGAACAAACCATGGAAGTGCTGGCAGCACCAATATTTAAACTTTTGTAAGTCATATTTTTATACAGATTCGTATGTAATTTTTTTTGTTTTTGTTTTCAGTTGTCAACAGAAATGTGAAGTTTTTAAATAATGAATTCTAGTCTTGTATCCTAGATGAGATTTGCTAGATTAAAATGTTAAAATCCTGGATTAATCATTTTGTTTGAGCTCTTTCTGAAATGATATGATGTTTCATGTGTTTAGTTCTATCTTTCCTTGAAACTAATGTCCTCTACTGGTACATATTAGGTATACAGGATTCTGATCTGTTTTTTTTTTTTTACCATCGTTGCCCATTTTCAAATTCATCAAATTATATCTTGATTTCGGCATAAACATAATCAGTTTTATTAGTAGCATGGTTACTTGGGATTTGTCTCTCACCAGCAAACTCAGAATTTCTCTATTTGCAATCTGAACACACAAAGGACTTCGGCGCTCAGCATACAGTTCTTACAGTCCTTAAACACCTAAACTTCCAGAAAAACGCAGAAAAAATGCTGCTTTGCCTTGACTGGCATGTGATCCTGAAGGAACACACTTGACAGATATTTGCCTCTCGTCATTTATGTTCTCTTAACGAATCCACTTCCCACATCTCACAGCTCCTTAAGCTCTATAAAGAAGAGCTGCTCAGCATTGGGTAAATGTTTCCACGGTTCCCACGCTGATTAGAGGCAGTCCAGAAAGCGCAGTGCTACGTCGGTGATTAAGTAGATAAGAAGCCCTGCAAAGAAAAGTGCTGAAGACAGCAGTCTCATCAGGTCTTCCTCTTCAAATGCGTATTACGGAAGACTTTAAAGCTGTTTTGTCAAACGGTAGCTTTATTTGCTGCTGATGTGATTTTAATTCAGTTTGCTCTTGTTTGCATAGCTTAATTTAACTATGGAGTCTAAGTAGTGGTTAAATAATTCAGCGGCATCTTTGCACGGGATAAAGGACTGTTGAATGAGACCCAGACACGTTTCATGCGTGTTCTGCTCCTCCTCTGTGGCTTTTTAGTTTTACCAATGAATGATTTAGTCCATCTTTTTTCAAACTGAATTTTGTTGGAATCTTTAAAGCAGGGACACCGAGGGCCAACAAACCAAATTTGCTACAAGCCGAGAGCCGGACTGGTTCAACGTTTATTAAAATACATTGAAATGATTGCACATCGTCTGTTGAACCAAGACCTACCACAGTGTATATTATTTAATAACTAAATGAATAAAGCAATATTTTCTTATGGATTTGTCAGTAATTTCAAGTGAAATCATTTTTCAACAGGCAAACAGACAAAAACAAAAACTTCCTTCAAAGAAAAGTAGCATGTTCTGTAAATTTAAAAGAATAAAGCAATATTTTGTTATGACTCTGTCAGTCGAAAATTTCAGTTTTAAACGTCAGAATTTTTTTGCTTTCGAAACTGAAATTTTTCCAGAAAAATATCAGAGCTTTTCTGCAAAGTTGCACCTTTTCAAACCTCCAAGTTTTTTCTTGAAAATTTCTGACATCAAGCTCAAAATTTGAGTTTCAAGTTGAAATTGTTTTACTTTTGGAGATTTTTTGTCAAAAGTTGAAATCTCCAAACTCGGAAATGTCCAAGTTTTTTCTATCAAATTTAGAACTTTTCAAGTTCAGACAATTTTTGGGAAAATTTTGGAAAGTCTTTTTTTTTGGGCTGAAATTCACTCTTTTTTATGCTGCTCTGCTGCAATGTGGTCATTTACGCCACAGAAGCCAGTTTCTACACACACAAACATGCATGCATGCGCACACTCATCCCTTCATCTACTGTACACCTGGCTTTAAAGTAGCAGTGTGTGTTCATCTCTTCGGCTGTACTCTGAACTTCCCATTATTATTCTCCCACACTTAAAATTGTCCAGCTTTCAGTTCTCTTTGTGCTAATCAAAGCTCCAGCCTGCCTTTGTTTAAGTGCATGGCTGTCAAGCAGACCTCTAGCTAAAGGCTGAGATGTTAACAGGCTGTGGTGTCTACATTATTGATGCAGACTGCGACTAGGCTGTGCTTTGCCATAGGCTACAACTTAAAAAAAAAAAAAGAAGAAAGAATTGGAGTGAACTCCGGCTGAACTCGGAGAGAATTTAGCTAAAGAGGACTTGCAGATAAGGAGCCTCCCCCCGATCGCATGCAAACATTGAAGTGCCTTGTACCAGAAGTTGAGACAACACGGCCTAATTGTTGTGACACGTCGGGTTTACTGCAGCGTTTTAATGAGCCCGGGTCCCCAGGGCGACGCTGGGATGATTAAATTTAGCATTTAGGCTGCTAAAATTTTGAACGCCCCTCTTTGGACAGGGACTGAGCTGCTCTGTGGAGAAATATTGAAAAAAATTGTGAGCTACGTTAAAATATTTTAGACTCAACTTTACGTGTGTATTCAGCCAGTAAAACGTTGCTCGGTTAAGTTGCCGTTCACTTTGATTATGTTGTTGGCGGCTGCCCCATTAGCGCTGTGAAGCACAAATCTGAGCGTCCTCATTATTGTCCTTATATCATCTTCTGCTCTATGTCACATAAACAGTGACTTCCAGAGAAACTTTGCTGTTAATAACGGGGATTGACACCAGGAATCCTCCTATAGTTAGTACAGCTTGAAATATTTCAGTGGTCTTTGCGTTCAGGTTGTGCTTGTGGTAGCAGCTGTTATGCATTACAGCACACAAGCTTCTAACCTTTTATCAATCTTTTTGCTTTTCTGAACCAGTCTCTTGTACAACACGGATGGTTGGACTGCAATGGGATCAAGAAGGAAACTTGGGGAGCTCCCTCTATCAAGATTGATACATGAAATAATAATAATAAAAAAGTTAATGAACAGTTTTTGCAAAGAACACTGTTTTTTGCCATAATTTTAGAGATAGAGGAAGTGTGTGACAAAGTAATTCTGAGGCTGGTAACCAGTGTTGGAGGAGCTTTTCCTCGATTTATGAGGACCAAAACACAAACTCTGATCTGCCTAAAAACTTCAGTCTGGGTTCGGTCGAAGTGAACTCTGGCCCACTTGGCGTTCACACATATATTTGAACTGCACCAGACACCCCTCCAAAGCAAGAAGTGGACTGCAGTGCAGGGCATCCTGGGTAAATGCAACCAGAACAAACAAGAGAGACTAGTGCTAGCTGGAGAAAAGACTCGTGATTCTTTACCAAAGAGAAATCCTTAAATCGTTAAAATCTGCCTCTGGGAATGTCACAGTGATGAATTTGCTCACGACAGGCATGATGCAAACATACATGCTGTTACATCATTGTCTTTGGAGGAAGGAATCTATATGGACATTTGATTGATTATGAGTCAGGAGACTAGAATCCATTTATAACTTGATTATTAATCTGAAATGCTGCATATCATGTTTTTTCCCATTTCCTCTGCAACTCTTCTGCAGGTATTCAGAAACTCTGGATAACTTTGTGCAACACTATCATGCTCTGTGTTTATTCTGTGTTTACTTCCATGCATTCACTGTAATTTACTCACCGGTCCGCTTTGCTTCTTCTACCCTCGTCTCTTTCTGTTCCTCAGGTTCACTGTTAAACTTTCTACACAGCAGATTTTTTTTTCTGCACACTTCCCTATGATCATTTATGCATTCAGTCATTGGTTATTTATATATACATGCCTTGAATAGCAATCAGATGGAGATGTTATACTTTTTTTGCTACAGATGAGGTCAGAATTAAGACGGGCTGCAAAGAGGAATTCTGATGAGACAAGTTTGTATTAATTGTGTTGTGGGAATTGTGTAAATGTATATTTATTTAATTCTCACTTGAACCAAGAAGTTTTTCTTTCTGCAAGAAACTTGCAGACCTCCTCAAACTTGTACTGCTGATGCCTCAGAAATGGAAATTAGTGGAGGACGTCTTGCTGCCCTCAGGATGCGAGGAAGGTTTTTAAATTAGGGGGCTAAAAAAAATCAGCTTTTTGGCATGCCTTACTGCATCCCACACACCCTCGTCTCAGTGAAGGATGTAAGGTTAAGACAAGGCCCTTCAATGAGCATTGTGTGCTCATTTAGCACATTGAGCATTGTGTTGAGTCTGCTTGCAGTCACACACAGAAGGGAGAGTTGATGCAAAGCCCTAAGCTCATGATGATAAGCTGAGTAGGAAGGTGAAAACCCAAAGATGCATTTGGGAGTCTGTCTAGTTTGTGTTGGATGTCTTCGGCTGTTATTATTGTCTTTCTAAAGATAATTACCATGTTAAATATTTCTTTCTTCTTTTTGACCTGACGTCAAAAGACAGAGACAGAAATGTCCAGAATGTGCATAAGAAGTTAAATGTGGCATGCTTACAAGTTTCTTATTTTGCTCTGCTTTCCTGTTCTGCTTGGGCTGTGCACTACTTTTAGTTCACCTGAAGGCAACTGAATATATTTAGTCATGTTTGAATTCTACCTGGTGGCACAGTGGACCCTCAGTATTTGTGGGAATAGAAGGCCTGACCTCCATGTAGCTAAAATCTGTACATGGGAGATGCTCTAAAAATGCCAATATGATTTTCATAGACCCCTCACCAAATACAACATAGTATAATTATAGTTAAAATAGGCAAATTTTTCTGAAAAATTTTTGAATTATGTTCCGTAGAAGAATCTGCGAATAAGTGAATACTGAACCGTGGATAGTTGGGATCCACTGCTCACAAGTTAATGTGAAACACTGGAGAAATAAATTAATTTGACATACGGTCAATTGTTTTAAATATATCCAGTCAAATCAAGTTCAACATCAGGCCATTTTCAAATGCCTCACATGACAACAACATAACACAATAAGCACTTATGAAATAAGCATCAAACATTGCATTTTGTCATCTTCATAATCATCAAAAATCATCATAAAAGGCACATAAAATATATTAATTATTGTTCATGGTTATTTTTCCAGTTTCCTAGAAGTTTGTGAAAGTCTCTGAATGCAGAGCAGAACCAGAACCAGAAGACCTGAGAGGTCTGGAAGGTTGATACAACACCAGGAGATCTTTCATGTATT